CTCTCTCTCACACACACTCACACACACACACACACACACACACACTACAGCACACGTGCGCCTGCACTGAGCTCCCACGACCGGCTCGGAAGCCACGCCGCCATCAGCTGCGGGCTTCAAGCGCCGCCGCCGCCGACGCCGCCGCCTCTCTATCGTGGCCGCCTCAAATTGGGCCACTATTTTGAGCTCTGGCCATTATTTTTATATCTTTCAGAAGCAGGCCCAATTTATTTGGAGAGAGGATTTAGCTCGGGGTTTGTGAGCTGGTGCAGCTTTCCGGCGTGTCCTCATCGATGAGTTGTAATTAAAAAGCGCGGCTCCCTCGGAGCGGTTCAATATGGCGAGCAAATAATAGCGTCAGCTGTCATCGGGCGCGAGCTGAGCCCGGCCAGGTGGCAGGATGGAAAGTCGTTTGAGTGTTGATTCGATATCCTTCGTATCCCGCTTCCATTCCATCGCACCCATTTGTCCGCACAAGTAAGACGATTCGGCGCGCTCGTAGAAGGACGATATCGTTCCGCAACTACGAATGCCACGTTTGACCTTCTTGTGTGCAATTGAATCTTTGTCTTGAGGTCACCTCGTAGGCATGTGTGCCACACAAGTAGCGTGGCAACGCCTTTGTAGGTTTGCCTCCCTCGCAGCGACTTGCTTGCCAACGTTGTCCTTCTCGTGTGCAGAAATGTCTGACTTGTAAGAGATACCACCGCAGTGCGCTGAAGTGCCTTCATGGTCGGGACAATCTGGTGTAGCGCCGACTTTCAGCGGATATCAAAGAAACGCGCAAACGACTTTCCCTTATCTCCTCGATTGTCGTTCTTATCTGGCACTCGCAACTTTTGTCACACGCCCAGCAGCACCTTTCCAAATGATTTCCTCAACAAATCCCGGCGAGCCAAGCTTCACTGACAACCAGACTTGGGATCTTTTTCTTTTTCTTTTTTTTTTCCAATTTCTGAATCGTGCAAGCAATTCCGGTGGTTCAGCAAGTGACTTTGCGTCTCTATCCCCGCGTCTTGATTGCGAGGCGGGCCAACGAGCCGTCAATGTAAACGTAAAGAAGAATAAAGAGCAGCGCTGAAGCTGCCGAGAAACAAACGGCTTCTCGATCTGTCGCCTCTCTGCACCCCCCCCCAACCCACCTTCGCCCCTGACACGTCACCTCCCGCCTTCACACATACGCACTAAGTGCAACCTCACACACGTATATATATACACACACACACACACACACACAGAAGCTGCTGAGCCCTCAACTTAGCGTCAAACCGTTGCTGCCAAAGCAGCAAAAGCCCGTCTCGGGCATCTCACGTTTCCAGCCTCCTTCTGGTGCTCGCCCTCCCTCCCACCTTCCCTTCCAGAACACTGATGGGACTAATACCCCCTTAGAGATTCTAACAAGTTGACCTTCACATTAAAATCTCATCAAGTTTCCCCCCCCCCACCTCTCGCTTGGTCTGCCTCGCCGGCTCGTGTCCTGCCCTGCACTGCATCTCCCCTTCATCGCTCCTCCGTCCTTGGTGTTGTCTCTTCACGGGGTTCTTTTTGTGCTCTTGGCTTTTAATCATCCAGTCAAAAGGTGATGGGGGGGGTATTTGTTGTTTTTTTTTGGGGGGTGGGTATGTGCTGGTCAGACTACAGTACAGGCAGCACTGTGGAGTTGTGGATCACACATGAGTCTCACAGTCAAGAGGTCCTGGGTTTGAATCTGTTCTCGGGTGTGACCCTCAACCCGATATTGCAAAAACATGCATGTTGTAATGCAAAGTACACTCGTCCCTCATCGTTTGCCGGATCCCAAGCGGATCTGGAGGAATGTGACGATTGGTTGGGAGAACAGTCGGCAATGGAAGCCAAGTGAAGCCGTCGAAGTGGCAGAATGAAGGATTCAAACTCTCCAAGAGAACGTCTTTATTTTGTGTAATGCAGAACACTTTGGACTTTTCCTTGTAAATCTGCCGGATGTTGCTGCACCACGCCATTGAGGGATTTTGGAACTTTTGTGCATCCACAAGGTGACCCGCCTTATTCGGCACCTGAGGCGCATCATATGGTCGTGAAAATACGGTAGTTCATTTTTCAAAATGGTTCAGTCGTCCGAGTGTGGCAAAACGCTCCAGAAAACAAAACATTCAGGAATCACCAATGCATCATCATCCAAAGCGTGAATGATGCTGCAGAATGAATGACACACACTGGAGGCGCGAACCCAGGGGCCTTGACATGCGCTGCAGCAAAGACCGCCCCCCCCCCGACCCCCACCCCCATGCATGCAGCTCATCGCTCACTGTCATCCATGACGCCACTTTCATCCCTCTTCCTCTATTTCCATCCCTCCTCTCCTGCTCGCCATCCCTCTTGCCCTCCCCCTCGTGACAGTCGTGACACCCGAGGTCGGAGGGCTCCTGAGACTTTTGATATTGTTGCTAAAAAAGAGATGATTCTCTCAAGTGCACTCCAAATATAGACCGGGACCTCCGGCGGCCTCAAACGGGGCGAGGAGGATGCGAGGAAGGGAAAGAAGGACCGAAAGGAAGGAGAAGATAGACTGAGAGGGAAAATGAGATGGAAGATGGATAGGCAAGAAAGAAGGATACTGTAAGACAGGTGAGAAGACGGACAGAAGAGAAGATCCAAATATTGCTTTGTTGCCAGGAACTATGTTATGGTGCAGGGAGGCGCTTCATTCAGTCAGGCTGAAGCCTTGTGCGATTGAAGGTGCTTTGCCGTCTTCTTTTGGCATCTGTGAGTCATTGAAACATTTTTAGAGATGTGTCAATAGTAGATTTTCGCCATTTGCGGCAGGGCTTGTTCCCTTTTCCCATCGTGTTAGACAGGACATTGGCGCCATCTTGTGGCTCTAAAGAAAGCTCGGACAGCACATAGGTGAGTTTTTCAGTGAGTAACGGAGGAAAGGCTCTAAAAAAAAAAAAAACATGAACACTGTATGTGAACACTGTACCGGTCTTCTTCATATTTTCCTTGCTGTCTGGATCCCTGTGGCGCCATACTGCCTCCCACGGGTTCGTCTGTGTACTACAACTGACATTATGAAGCATGTTTTTTTGTTTTTGCTTATGTTTTCATATAAAAAAAAAAAAGACGTTGAATGATGAAATTTGGCATCTTGAAAGATGGAGGGAGGAAAGAAAGAAAATAAAAAGGTCCTTGACAATCCCCGTTGCGTTGACGTTGTTTGAATGAGTCACAATCAGATGAGCTCATATGCGGGCACTAGTTCACTTTGTCTTTGGGTCACGTGGAGTTTGGCTCCCCGATGCACCATGTCGCATCTTCACACACACGCACACGCATGTGAAATGCACACCGCACTCTTGAACAGTATGAAACACACACGCTCGCGCGCGCGCGCACACACACACACACCACTTAAAAAGCTTTGCACTACTACACTATTTGGTGAAGGCAATCATGAAAGGACATCCGAGCTCCCTCTCTCACTGGCACCCCCCGCCCGCTCTTTCTCTCTCTCTCTCTCTCTCTCTCTCTCTCTCTCTCTCTCTCTCTCTCTCTCACACACATGCATACACGCACACGCTTTTGAAGCCGAAGTGGCGGGCAGAAGCACATCGACACCGCAGTGGCCGCTTCGGATGGATCCAAGCAGGTCCGATGGATATGAGGCTGCGCTGGAGATGAACGAACGCACGGGGGGAGTGAGGACCGAGTAGAAGAGCACCCAAATCCCTCCAAGCCTTCCTGGTGCGTGTGTGCGCGCGCTCGTGAGTGTGCTCTCTTGGCAGCTGACGTGTGCACACGACTCTGGTGGCAGGGTGAGTAATCCCCCCTTTTTCTAATGACCATATTGTCGACGAGAGTGCGTGTTTTGGCACTTGACCCATGATGACGCTATACCCACCCTGACTTTGTCCCCCCCTCCTAAAAAAAAATGTGCGCGTGTGATGCAGCGTGTGGCACCCATGTTGTGTTAACAGGCGCACTATAAACGAGAGCGTAAATGGTGTGTGCCGATTCACTCACGTGTACGCACGCCGTGTTGAGGGTGTCCAAACTCCGCCTGAGAGTGCGCCTTGGTATGGGGGCTTGGGGGTTTGGGTGGGTGGGGGGTGGGTCGCCGGACTCGGAGCTGTCCTCCGGTCGATGCACACGTCGGTGCTGGCATATCGGCGACGAAGATGCAATCATGCACTTTGGCCAGGCATGTCGTCGGCGTGTTTGACTGCAGATTTGAGCTTGCACGTGACCCTCAAAAATTGACTGAAAAATGACATCACGGCATACCATAGCAGTCCTTACGTGCCATAAGCAACGTCATCAACCCAATTTTGGAAAACCGTTGGATAATGAGTTTAAAGTCAGTCTACTTGCATCCCAAACAATTATTCCATATCAACTCGCTCCAACAAAAAATGAAGACCGTTTTGTTTTTTTTCAAGCAAGGAAAATAACCCTCTCGAGTCTACTATAAAAATATACGTTATCAAAACAGTCATAAGTCAATTGGATGTAAAGAATTAAACAGGTTTTGCATCCCAATGAATTCTTGGTGGCTTCTTCTGCATGTGCATCATCTTCATATGCACTCATATTAGTCGTGCTTCACAGAGGATAAAGAACGTGTGCCTTGTGGTTGCACCGTTTGTGTTCAAATATCTGTCGCTTACCACGTCACATAGATGCTATTCGTCGGCTTTCGTGTTTCCCATTAGGTGTTAGAGAACCACACCACAAAATTGCAAACTGACAAATAATTCAGTTACCACACGCTCTTTCTCCGTGGCTGGGATTTAACAGAATAGGACAATCTAAAAAAGCCATTTCAGCATTTATCCTATTTCCTTTCGTTTTCAAGTTGGCTGGTCGTAGTCCTCATGAGTAAGACCATTCAGTGCACCCGTAGACCGACTAGAGTGCACGAATAGAACAACTGTGTCTTACTAGAACCTTTTTTCCTCCTGCCTTCCACTACTGTCTAACATTTCCGTCCGCTAATAGGACAACTACACGTTAGTAGCGAGGCAAAAATTGTGCAGTAGTTGACAACTGCATGCTGCTAGTACCACAAGCAACGTTATAAAATTCCCAGAGTTGACATCTCGTACTAGTGAGGTACCAATTCATTTTCCCGACCTGGACTGAGGGCCAGTTAAGAACTTTGATGTGATTGTGATGTATCAGGAGATGAAGAATACCTTTTATTGTTTGATTGAGCGGGAATCCCCCAAAAAACATGGTGCTGCTATGAAGCAATGATGAGAGACGGGTAGAAAAAATAATGAGGAAGTGCACACACGCCGCCCCAAAATTGCTGTTGAAACAGAGCAGAGGGCAAAACGACGATTGCATTTCCCATTGAAAACGGTGGCAAATGCAATGATGTTAATGCACTGACTGAACCAAGGCGTTCCCCCTGTGTCCTTTCGAAGTACTCCACATTTTGGTGAACAGTGTTCCCTGCTCCGGTATGTTTTTTGAAGTTTTTACAATCCACTTGCGGGGAGACCAACAGTCAAAAACACACGACTGCGCTTAGAAGCTGCTGTCGGCCAAAGGTCAGCAGGCACCGCCTCATAAAGGCACATGCATGTACCATACGATGCTACTATACCAATTGCATTTCGGAACTTTTTGATGCCTGCAATTGTTTTGGTTGCTGAAAGATGTTTAAATGTGTGACTCAATACATGTGTGGCAATGGTAAAATTATTTAACGATATGTTTTAGATGGTCTGCATCGTGTCGCCGATACTGCACAAACTCCACAAGTCGCAAGCTCTGTTCCTGCTGCCGGTTCGCCCCCCCCCCGCCCCCCCTTTTTTTTTTAGCCATCGTGGCCTCTTTCTGTCTTCCTCGGAGAGACGACGAGGTGATGTCAGCCTGGAGACTGTGACACACGACAGAGATTGAAACCCTTTGGTCCCTCCTCCTGTGGCTCCAACCGATCCAATTCAACCGGCTCATTTCTTTCTGGGCCAGGGCGAGCTGGGGCCTGGTCTCACAAGGCCTCAGTGTGCACTGTTAACACACGTCGAGAAGGGGATGTGCCTTTGTTTCAATTCAGTCTCAATCTGGGCTGTTCCAGGCTTACCTCTAATTGCGATTTTCCGATCAGGGTTTTAGGCCGCCAATTTCGATGTCGATCGTCCATGAGTGTCATCGTCCGATAGCAATACCGATCATGTAGAACATCTGTCAACATTTTTTAGAGCTACAACTACTGATTTTTCTTCAATAATCAACGAATGTGTTGCTTGAGCATTGATTCAGAAAAAAAAAAAAACTCTCGCTCACCCACCACAAAAACGTTTCTCACAGACTAAAAAAAAAACGTAACAAAATCTCACACACTCAGAAGTTTTCTCACACTACTCCAAAAATTTCTCTTTAAAGTGTGAGAAAGAAAAGTCCTTTTTGGGTTTTGCTCTCTCGATAAAGAACTTGAGTGTTGTTACTTGATTCGCGTGGGGAGTTTTGACGCGTGAAACGAGCAGACGGCTAGCATGCTCGCGAACAACAGCGCAGCACGGCCCAGACGGGAAGATTAAAGGCGTCTTGTGTTTGAATGTTTGTGCAGCTCAGCAACAGCGGCGGCAGATTGATTACTCGTCGACACGACGTGTGAGATCAACACAACGATTTTGTTGACAGCATGGCCCCCACAACAACGGGCAAACTGCAGACAGCACATGTCCGGGGGGGGGGGTAGCGGATGTACACATTTAACATTCTCATGAGAATTGAGTCGGACGTCATGCAAAAAGTCACGCATGGCACTTCGAAAGGGTTACAGTCCCACTTTCTATTCATAGCCATTTATGTATTCGTAAGAAATAAGTTTTTGGGGTGGCAAAATATTCCACCCCCCCCCTTCATGTTTGTGGAGTGTGTTGCTGCTATTTTTGCAGTGTGTCGCTGCAGGTTATGTGCATGCACATGGACCTCACGCAGGCTCATCTTGCCGTAAAAGAATCTCTTCCATTTGCACGAGAACACAACATGTCGTGCTTTTACATTTGACACCGGACGAGAAACTGCTGTTTTAAAAATGTTTCAATTGTTTGGATTAAACATGTTGAAATCATATAGTTGAATAAAAAAAAGAAAAACATTCGCTTGAATTGAACTCGTCAAATGAAACCCTGTGAATCTTTTAGTTGGCAGACCGGATTGTAATGGATGAATGAATGGCTGGCCGGTGACTCTTTTGAAATTGTAGGCCAGTCTCTTGGGGGAAAATGGAGGAAAGTAAGAAATAAATAGCGCGCTGGCCCCAAAAGACCCCGGCCCACCGGGCATCTGTCCTTCCTGCCAGATGGCCGGCCCAGCCCTGCTGGCAGCGATAGATGAACCAAGATGTATTTTGGGCATATTTGGGACAGTTAATTGAATCACTGGTCAAGAAATGTACAAGACGCAATATACAGTAGTCACTTTCCGCACTATTGGAGCGCTAGCAGAAAGTTTGCATTTTGTCACGTTTGATCACTTGGTGACACTTTTACTGAAGGAATTGAACATGAGCCAAGTAGCGTCATTACGAATATGGCAGAAAAAAAAATACCAATGTGTTTGCGTCAAATGTATTTTTGGTGTATTTCGGTGGGCCTGGTTGAATGGTGCCACCCCCTTTTGTTTGTTGAATTTGTTGTGGGGTTTTTTCTTGTTTTCCAAAAACATCAAAAAACGACATTTCAGCTCTTATATGGGATGCAAATTCAGGCCAATTGTCATCTTGCGTTCGGCTGGTGAAAGGACTTTCCTGGATAAGACACTATCATTAGTAGGTGCTGAGGAGTTACGGTAACTGATCGGGGGGGTTTAACCCTGCATATTTTATGAACCTTGAGTTTGAACTAAACAAATGGATTGAAGTGAAGAAGAGGTTGTAAGAATAGCAGAGAAAATCGGTGCTTTTTTGGAACCTGCTTTCAACATGATGCGGTGTGGTTCTACCTGACTCACAATACCCGACGCCCGTCAGACTCATTCCAAAACGAGCATTAATACCTTTCCAAACTGCCTTTTCTTTCGGCAGCTCGAGCATTTCTTTATGACACGATGATGCAATCAACTCAATCAAAGCAAAGGAGGTAGAGCTGACGTGAAGCAGATGATGCCCGGTTGCACATCCAGCCGCCCGCAAATGTAAACAGACAGCAGGCTCTCAACAGTTTGCGTGCACGTGTGTGTGTGTTTGTGTGTGTGTTTTGAAGTGCTTTACCATGAAGTCGTCATCATGTGTTGGCTTCACGCTAACCTTTAACAGGATTGGTTGAGGATGATGTGTGATGACTTCATCTTTAGCAGTAACAAGGCGAGACAGGAGGACGGCCGGAGGCTGTGTGCATCCAAGTGTGCCTTGCTTTACACCCACCCACCCCCTCCAATCCTAACAACTTCCCTTACGTGACCCGCTCCAAATAAATGTGTTCCCCCCGCCACACACACACATGCACACGCACACACGCATATCCACGAGTCTCCTCTCTGTGCCCTCCAGATGAGTTCGTGCAGCAGCCGCGCGTTGACCATCCTGTCCACAGTGTTTGGGGCCTGCGGGCTACTGCTGGTGGGGGTGGCCGTGTCCACCGACTATTGGCTCATCATGGTGGAGGGCGTCATCCTGCAGCACAACCAGAGCATGGAGGTCAAGATGGCTCTGCATTCAGGCCTCTGGAGGGTCTGCTTCGTGGCCGGTAGGGACGGCTCAGCCATGCGCTGCTTGTCATGCAATATATAATGAATATTAAAAAAATCGACATACCCCTCTTCAAATGCTTTGTGTGACTGTGTGTGTGCGCGCGCGCGCGCGCGCGGCGTGTTTTTATATATTTATATAACGTTTCTGTTTTTCTTATTTGTTGCATAATCTAATGACATCTCGTGAATATTAACGTTGCTTTCTACTTTTAGGGGCTGAAAACGGAAGATGTGTTGCGTCAGAGTACTTCACTGAACCCGACATCGAGATCACCACTGAAAACACTGCAAACATTCTCAGTGAGTACAAACCTCGTACTGCACATTTGAAGTGGCAAGGACCCCTGCTGGCGGATTGCAGGTACTGCTGTTAGAATGTACGGTAATGTACGAGACTGTCGACATCCTTCATCTTCTTATCCATATCCTACTTTTTGTCCTCACACATACTACACTTCTGCATACTAGAAGAACTTACTCATAACTCCTGCTAGTTTTACTTCTACTGCCACCACTTAAACGTCATTTTTGTATGTATAACACAACAACGGTGACTGCTCAGACGACTACAAATTATACGACTCCAACAAGTAGCCTCTGCCGTTTCTACTACAGTCAACCCTCGGTTTTCGAACGTCTCTGTTCTCGACCAAATCGGTTTTCGACCAAAAATTTCGATTTTTTTTATGGCTCGGATTACGACCGAAAATCGGTTCTCGTCCAAACTGAGCACACTTGAATGCGCCACTTGACTCCTCTCGCCTTCCTTACATGAGGAAGTGACGCTTCCTCGTGTAGAGTTCCATTGTCAGCAGACGTGTTCAATAAAGTTTTTTTTTAAAGAGCGTTGTTTTCAGTTTTTGAACAAATCGGTTTTCGAACAGCCTTCTGGAACGGATCATGGTCGAAAACCGAGGTATGACTGTACTTCCACCTTTACTGCTACTTTGACGACTTGGACCATATGACTCCGATCGACAGACGGACAGAGAGAGACACACACATGGCACGTTCACGCTTTCCCGCCTCCACAGAGATGGTACGCACAGCGACGCCGTTCCCGATGGTGTCGCTGCTCTTCGTCTTCACCGCCTTCGTCATCAGCAACATCGGACACATCCAGCCTCAGCGCACCATCCTCGCCTTTGTCTCGGGGATCTTCTTCATCCTCTCAGGTGCCACCCGGTCGCCACCAATCGATTCGCTTCCCCAAACTATTGCGAGGTCACACCTCTTCAGCGGGTTTGACTTTGAAACACAGGGATCAACTTAAATCGCAAACAGCAATAATTACATTTAACGTGTATTTTTTTTCAACGGCTAATGATTATGACTCCCCCCAAAAAAATGAAAATCCAAGTTGCAGTTCTTCAATGCATTCTATACAATAAGAGTGTTGTGCCTGCCAACAAACGGCGACTATGACCCCCCCCCCCACACTTGCCAATCCAGTCGTCACGTGATTTTTCTGCATTTTTGTAGTTCACCCTCTTGAACGGCAGGTGGCGGTCACGGCCCCACTTGCTTCCTGTTGTCAGCGCACTGAGCAGTGACAGATTGCAGCCCTTGAGCTCCACTTGTTTTTTTTTGCAGCACTGCAGCGCTCGCTGGAACATCAAACAGCATCCCAGGCTTTGCTGATAAAAACAGACGAGTGGGGGGGGTGCAAACTGAGTTTTTATGTCATTGCATTTATATAACGCGTCATTGCAACCATTAAAAAACTTTTCGATACATACTAAGTTGATCATAAGGATCAATTCAATTTTTTGCTTTTCTCGTGGGCGTGTTGCTTTACAGTGCTTACCCAATGTATGGATTGGACCGGCATCAAATGTAAGATTTATGAATTCGTTTCACAGCATTTGCATATTACCAACATCATTGAATGTTTCTGTGATGCAGCCACGTGGCTTGAGAGTGTAACACAGTCATCAGCAGTTGGCAACAACTAAAATTTTACCCCAAAGCCGAATATCTCTATAACGTTTTATAGTATTTATCTCTAAAAATGGCTGCAATAGCGTGCGTCCATGTGTGTGTGTGTGTGTGTGTGTGTGTGTGTGTGTGTGTGTGTGTTCCTCATTTTGCAGTTAAAATATATATATTTCCAAGTCAACATACATAAAAAAGCTAAGTTGCCTTTAAATGTTGCAATGCAGCCTGAAATTATTCATGCTGAGAGTATGCATCTTTCTTTGAATATTGAACAGTCGACGCGGGCCATATGTTGTCTCTCATGCGTGGAAATGTTCCTGGAAAGAGACTTTGAATGTTGCATGGGACAACGTTTTTTTTTGTTTTTTTTTTTTTAAAGCCGAGGTCACTTTTCAAACAGGAAATCCACATTGTACAACATGAGCCGATGTTCCGCAGAACACGAGTCCAAAACTTAGCTTTCAAGTCCTCAGCTCGTTTCTGTCTGGAATCCATTTCCAGTTGAGTTCTCCTTGGTCATTTTGTCCAGATGAACTTTGCTTTCCATTCAAACGCTTGATGCTGATGCTCGTTGTCGTTCCCGTGTCCTCCTTCCCGTGTTGGTTGTTGTTGCGGTGGCCGCGTGCAGGCCTGAGTCTGGTGGTGGGCCTGGTCCTCTACATCTCCAGCATCAATGACGAGGTGATGAACCGCCCCAGGGAGCCCGAGCAGTTCTTCAATTACCACTACGGATGGTCCTTTGCCTTCGCCGCCTCCTCCTTCCTGCTCAAAGAGGTCGGTCAACGTTATTTGCCCGCAACGGAGTCACAATTTTTGCGGTGTTGCATTTGAGATGGGCCTGTTCTTTGTTTGTTTGATCCCGAAAGCCCCGGGTAAATTGCGACACACACAGACTGAAATCTGATTGGGTAAAAAATTAATACAAAATAAATACGCTGAAATCAAGAAAATAGATCAAAAACAATTTCTTGAAATAAATGTGTTGTAGGCCAGTGCTTCTGATATTCACATGGCCTCCATATGACATTATTGTGACCACTTACGCAGTCTAATCAGGTCCATCTGTGTGTGTGTGGGGGGGTTGCTTGATGCAGTTTGCTGCTGCTCCTTTGCTCTTCCGTCCTGCGACTTCCCTCCCTCCACTCCTCCCGTTATCCGCATCACTGTTTGGTGCAACGTTACAGTTCAGCGTGGTCGTCCTTCTCGCGCTCGGCTCCCGCTGCTCAGTTTCTCTCCTTTTCTATCCCGTTCACTGCTCCCACCGTTTTCTTCGCTCATTAAGTCATGAGACATGCACAAAGCAGTTTAATGCGTTTGGGCAATCTCGTTTGCAGAGCTGTTTTGTTACAGTTTGCCAGTATAAGCCACAACAACACAATCTGTAAGAATCAATACTGGGGCTGTTTGAAATATCCAAATGCAGACAACAAAGACAACAGTCTTTACTGTATCTCTATTTGTGTGTGTGTATGGGGGGGGGGGGGGGATTGGTGTTAAATGTGCAATGGATCAATTTGCCCACTAGGAGGTGCACCAACACTCCGAATCCGGGATTCCCGATGCCTGGGCGACATCTATAGTGTCAGAATAAATGAAGTCATGATGACACATGACGACTACTTTCTACCTCTAATTCTACAAAACCACTTCTACTGTACCACTACTGCTACGGTGATACTATGACTGCCACCTCTACAACTCCTATTTCTGCCAATATTACTACTTGTACTTTTCTACTACGACTTCGACGACTGCTACTTCTGCGACTACACCTAATACCATTTCCGTTAATATTTTTACCATGCTACCTCTTACACTACTACTACTGCTACTATACTACTACAACTGCACCACTACTACCACGACCATAACTATTCTACCACTGCTGTTATTACCTCCGCAGCTACTTCTGCTACTTCTAATGTACTATTGCAATAACAACTACTATAGCAGGGGGTGTCAAACTAATTTATGGTGCGGGCCACATTTTAGTTACCGTTTCACTTGGAGGGCCGATATGACTGAAACAATATTTCAAGAAGTCAAAAATAACTGTTGATTTTAGTAATGAGAAAATGCTTCCAATAAATGTCTTATTTATGACATATGATAATTTAACATTTTGGTAGACATTTTAGAAAGGTTCATGGATGCTGACATGTTTGAGCTACTTTCGCGGGCCACATAAAATGATGGGGCGGGCCAGATTTGGCCCCCGGGCCTTGAGTTTGACACCTGTGTACTATACCATTACCATTAAAACCTGGACCACTACTGCTACTTTTTACACTACTACAGCTTCTACTATTGCTCCTACGAATAATAATCGTAATCAATGATAAGGTTGGCTTTGTAGATGGCCCACCACAGCCCGTGAGTGTATCTTGACCCCCGTTTTTGGGTGTTCAGGGCGCAGGTGTGCTGTCCGTCTACCTGTTCATGAAGCGCTACGCAGAGGAGGAGATGTACCGCCCCCACCCCGCGCTCTACCGCCCCCGCTTGTCCGACAGCAGCGACTACAGCGGCCAGTTCCTCCACCCGGAATCGTCGTGGCCGCCGCCCAAGCGAGGCCGCAGCACGTCGGAGGCCTCCAGCGACATTTCCATCCAGCTCAACCAGCCGCCGCCTCCCCCGCCCAAAAGCGGCGCCCAGAAGGGGGGCCATGTCAACCCGCCGTCCGGGTCCTCTTCTGGGGGGAGCTACCCCAACCCCCCGCTGTCCGCCGGGTACCCCGCGCACAGCCTGCCCAGGTCGCACTCGCCGCATCTCCAAGGCCAGGCCCTGTCGATGGCCGTGCCACCCCCGCCGGTGCCGCCCCCTCACTACCACACGCACATGCACATGAGCGCCTCCCCCTGTTAGGAAAAGGCGCAGACTCCTTTCCGTCGTGTGGAGAAATGGCCACAAGTGCAGCGTCCACAACAAGGTGACTAAAGTTTGGCAATAAGTGTTCAAATGTTCACTAGGAGAAAGGCAACGTCAAGCGAGTTATTAGTGGGCGGGGGAATCGGAAAGTGATGACATGGCTGAGGACGCATAAACTTTTGTACGTAGCAATTTCAAAACGTGGATGACGTGTATACCTTTCCACAAAATTGGAATGTGATTTAACATTTCGTACACTATCCGTCACACCTCCGTCGCGTGCAAGTCGGATTATTTTGACAGCGAGTCAACAATACCGTTGATGGTATGTGAAAGTTGTCACCGTTTCAAAAAGAAATGCAAGTGGGTTACCGTCCCAATTATCAACAACTTTATGTTTTGTATATTAGTTGAAATTATTGTACATAATCTTGCACACTGGACTTCATGTACTGAAAATCAGAATGGGCATTTTGGACACAAGAAGAAGACAAAAGGAGGACTGACGCTTTTGCCTTCTGCAATTAGTTGCTGATGACATCATCACCATTCTCTTAATGCAGTAGAAAACATTTGCCCCCCCCCTCGACTTCTTTCCACCTCAGTGCGAGTAAAGTGTGCCACTCACTGCACTTAATTTGAAGGATGAAGCGTCAATTGCACCCTCTACTGGCAACTTGGTGCATTGCCCCCGGACCTGCTTTGTGGGCCGACGGTTCTTCATTTGGAGGCCCTCGCAAATGTTGCAGATATTCTTGAAAGACCAAATTCAAGAGCATTTCAACCTAACCATACGATCGGACAACATTGTCAGAAGAATTCCGTCGACTTTTTTTTCCCCAACATGACATTTTCAAAGCAAGTCGGTCATGCTTTTATTTATAGCGAGGGGTGTCCTCGGTTTATAATGTATAGTATGACATAAAAACATTTCACATCGTCTTTTGTTTGCCTTTTGGCTGCTCCCCCGTGCAGCCGCACCATACGAGTGAATACAGTGTTTGGTCATGTGACACATGCTCAGTTACAGCCGAACTTACTGTTGGATTTGTTAGTTATCAGAAAATCGCACTTCCAATGTCCCCGGCCACATTTTATTTCCTATTTTCCGATTGGCTATAATGAGCGCAACTGAAAGTTTTTGCCAGGATGAACACAGGCTTCCTGAAATGTGTTCAACGGCATCCTTTTGGCTTGCCCTCCTGTTTGGATGGCAAACCAAATATTGGTGTGCAGCTGGCGGATGAAAAGGAAACATTTGAGTCAATTTAACTTCTTTTTTTTTCTTTTTTTTTTTTTTTTAATAGAGCCGTTTCTAAAAACAACCACACCGGAAACATGCAAGGGTGAATTTGTGCTCGTTCACTTGGCGCAAGCAAATGTGATGATATGTATTTGTGAAAAATGAGGCGACAAAAATAAGCCAGCGGCCATGAATGGATAGGGCGAGCATTGGAGAATTCAAATTTTTAACAAAGACACATTTCGACATTGGCTAATTTTCTATCGATGGCCCAGAATTTGTTTTTCCATGCAAAGATTTATTTCTCGTCTATTGCAGATGAGTGAGCGCCCGCATTGTGTCATATCCGGGCTCCGTACGTAACTCCGTTGTAAACTGAGGACTCCCTGTGCAACAATATCATATTGATGATCGTTCTCGACTAAACCAGAAAAAAAAGGTCCATTTCCTACTCATTCCATTGCATGTTTTGTCTTCCATCATCCTGCTACTGGTGAGAGGAGAAACGCAAGTGCCACACTATGGTCGAAGATCTGCACAAATGGAAGCACAGGGTAGAAACGTTCTTAAAAATTATCTGACTCGTGAAGCATGTAGCGAAATAAATAAATAAATACATTTTTATTATTATTTTTTTTTTAAGCTCAACAAGTTTTGTAACAAGAGACGTTTATGATATGCACAACTTGTTTTTGTCAAAAACAGAGAGTGTGGTTCCAATCGTAGCTGGAAGCTGTTACCTTACTTCATGCGAAAGTGGGAAACGACTTTATTCATTTTATTTCAATTAATGCTGTGACAGCCTTTTGACATTTTCCCTGCAGACGCGCCAGTACTTTTGTTTTTGTAAGATGTTTTTCATTGAAATATCAAGCTGTCATTCTTTCTCAAATCAACATCCTCTTGTTTCAAGACCCTGTAAAGTAAATCCCGAGATTTGTTTTGAAATACACGAGATGCGTTTGAAGACAATTCTCGACTCCAATGTATTTCTAGAGCGCTTCCAAACAACCACCGTTGTGTACAAAGAGCGAACATAATTCATAAAACAACAAACAATAAAAATGTCATGAATAACAAAGACAGTACAAAGCGCAAAAACAGTCCAACTAAAAATCAGGTCTCATGCGGAGTCAAAGGCCAAAGAATCAAAATGAGTTTTAAAGATGGCCAAATGTCCAACGGGAGGTTATTTCAAAGAGAGGGAGCGGCATTGGAAAAGGCTCCGTCCCCTCTGAGCTTCCGCTTCAAAATATAAAAGAGCAAAGAGGAGGCAAAACCTTGCGCAACCGCATTAGAGCGCCTCGTCGTCGTAGCAATGAAAAGCTCCGCGATGACCCAGTGGGATGTATTCCAGCCACCAGAGAGAGGATGTAACAATTTTCCGTGGCTGAAAAAAACATATAGTTATGTGTAGCATCCATTTTTCCAGGTCATAGAAATGGTACAGTATTTGATTGACGGTTGACAGATGAGCAGGGCGTGGTTTGTTTACATTCCTCAAACACGTCCACAGCACTTGACAGCAGAAAGAAAGGCTTGATTTTTTTTTTCCTCACCATTTTAAGCCTCATTTTAAATCCTTTTATATCCTCGTTTTCTTAATCATTCAAATTTGACGGGGTCGGTAACACTCTTCTGTGTGGTATGCCAAATTCATGACACGTATTTTCACTTTACAGGGACTTAAAAGATCATATAAGTGTCACTCTGATGTAAATAGTTTGCCTGTCAGGATTTGCTTCAAACGTGGAAATTGTTGATGCAAAAATCTGCTTGTGGCATTTTCAGTTTGATTGTCGACAAATCTTTAAGACACATCATGACTTTGTTTTTTTTATTTTATTACCACCGTGATGGAACTGAAAGACGCGGCAGAACATGTGTCGTAATGCGGAGAAAGAAAGAAAGACACGTCACAGAGATCACCGTCATCATTTCAACCTTCAGCTCAGAGCATTCCGAATCTTTTCATGCATGCACTTACACACGTTACGAGCCACACTCGACAAAATTCTGCTCTCGTCTCTGACCGCTCAGAACTCCACCATCATCCTTTTGCGTGTGGATTTCATCTGACATCTTACCTCCTGTACAAATCCATTTTCATTCTGAACGTTTCAAAACATTCAAAAACCATTCAGTGCCTCTTATAACCCCCCCGTCCCTACTTTCCTTTCCTACAGACAACATTCTATATAATACTGTAGCTGTGCTTGCTTCTGCACTGTCTTCTTGACATATATATATATATATATATATATATATATATAGCTAATTTGCTATTATGGCCTAAGTGAGGCAGTACCATGCCGAAGTTACGTGACTGAAAAAGTGCGTGCTGACACCTTCTGCAGCTAAACATTCAATAAATCTTCAATCTTTGTGCGCCCTCTGATATTCTTCTCTTCAATAAACAGCTGAAACGGATGCAGGGAGTATAAAAAGTCTGCACACCCCTGGTCAAATTATTACTTTCACTCTCAAAAAAGATAAAACAAAAATACTTTGGTTCACATGTTACATGTCACAGTAAGAGTGGAAAAGTTGAGGGTTTTTTTTTTTGGTGGGGGTTGGGGGGGGTCTCATTTTTAATGTCGCAAAAAACTGACATCTGAAAAGTGGTGTGTCGCTATTCAATTTTTAGCTTATGATCATAATCCTGGCTGTGATTTCTCGGCGGAGCATTTTTTGCTCGCAACACTCACTGTTGTTATGTCGCACCGGGTAAACAGCGACATTGTGCGTCACTTTGCACTGCATCCGTGATGAGACGACGCATCCTCGGGCCAAAATTGATCAGTGTGTGTTCTTTTGTCAGCACGCGTGTTGCCACGTGCGGTCGTCCCTCAAAAAACTGGATTTGTAGCCCCTTTTAGTTTTCTACGTCAGCGTTTTGAAAGAGCTTTGTGAAATATCGAAGAGAAAATGGTTGCCATTGATACGATTCCACTGTAAAATGCACAATAGAGTAATAAATTTTGTGCTGCGTTTAAAAAAACAAAAAGTCACTGGACTTCCAAAAGTCTGCATTTATCCAGAATAAAAGGATTGTGAATTCCTGTTCCTTATTGCATCATAGAACCAAGGTGAATCACAAAAAAACGAAAACCGAAGCAGTAACATCGGTTGATGACAAAATGTTGTGGGCAAATAATCATTATCGTTCATTTTTATTTCAATTCGACCTTTGTTTTGAGAATTCAGCTCGGGTCAATTACTTCTTAGAGCAGGTTTGACTATTTTCGTTTGAGTTATTTCATTTGTGTCCTTGAACAATAATGAACTCGCTGCATGGGCAGCCCAGAATTCGTGTTACGTGCTCCCTGTTACGTGCTCCAGTTTATAGACAAGCAGCACCGTATTGAGCCAACGTTCGAGACGTTTGAGTTCTGCCTGGCTGACTCTGTCTCCATCTATACCACAGGTGTCAAAGTCCGGTCCTCGAGGGCCGCCTTCCTGCATGTTTTTTGATGTTTCCCTCCTCCAACACACCACCTGAGTCGCACGATCAGGATGGTTATCTTACAGAGCTTGCTGATCATTTGAATCAAGTGTGGGTTGGAAGAGGGCAACGTCAAAAACATTGCAGCAAAGCGGCCTTGAGGACCTGAGTTGCCCACCCCAGTTCTTGATGAATGTTTACAAATAAGAACACCCTCACAAAGGGGACAATAAAGTGAAAGTTGCTTTCTAAAGTGGTGAAAGACGAGGAAGCCACATCATGCCCAAAAAAGGTGAGGCGAGCCAGCGTTGGGGAGCGTTTCGGGCTGGCCATGCAAGCAAAACAAACAAAAAAAAAAAAAACGACAAATAACCCAGAAATGCTGACAACATGTACTAAACTTGAATCAACTTGAAATTGACCCCTGACGAGAAAAATGTTCCCTACTACTGCCGCCATCTTTTGTGTCCACAATAAACAAACGGGCTACATTGTGACTACTTTTTGACATCGCCATTTGGCTCGCTGTGAGTGTGCGTGTGATTTTGACTTGTGTCCTGTTTTTTTTTTTTGTATGCATGTGTGTCGTGTATGTGTGCGCAGTGCGGAGTTGAGTGGATCTCTCTTTTCACCATCGCCATTACTGCATGAAAGAGCTGTCACTCCGAATTAGCTCGCTGTGGCTTTCCCCACTTCTCCCCCCCACCCCTCAGTGTGTGTCCGCGTGCGTGCGTGCGCGTGCACGTGCTGGGCAGCAAAGCCATTTTAGAGCCATTGAAGGTCATTGTCTGCTGGGTTTTGTGCAACCTAATTGTTTGTGTGCGTGTGTCCTGCAGCAGCTCAGCAAGTGGCTCCATTTTATTAAGTTCACAGGGGTGACATAATTCAGCCTCCACCCACCGACAGCACTGAAGTCATTCGACTGACTGAACGCTCGTGATCGCCATGACAGATAAAGTCGGTGTGTATTGATTGTATCGCGATTGACTGGTGATTTTCACGCGCACACGCACGAACACAGACAGACAGAAAAACGGCGAGCTGCTCATGTGTGTCAGCAACCCGACAACGAGACGTTTTGCTGTGCCATTAGTATTGGAGTTGAGAGTCGTTTGACGGGGACAGGAAGTACGAATATTAGCGGAAGTCCTGGGGATAGATAGCAGTCGAATTCACAGTATTGTATAATCCCGAAGGACTTGGAAAAAATCATTTATTTGGGGGCTTTGTTGTTCACTTCCTGTTTTTCAAAGAATACAGATTGTTTCAGATGTATTTCGGTTGTTGAAAAGTGTCACGGCACGGTACGTGATGCTAGCGGCTAGCAGCTAGCCCTGTTCGCCGACGAGCAGGCGAAAAAACACAAACAACGCAGCAAAGGCAGCTTGCGTAGCTTTGAATTTTTTTTTTTTGTTCACAGTTTGTCTTTTGGGGAGTTCTGTTCTCTACCTGAGCGACCTTAAGATATGACCGATCTTAAACGACAATTCTAATGGTGCCAAATGACTGAAGCACAGCCTGGTTTTGTCTCGTCGCCTATTTGGGCAACTTCAACGCGTTGCTCCCGGAGCCCAAATAAGCAATGCAGTGATCCTCCAGCATGTTATGAATTCTGCATTTTTGTGGTGGTCATCCTGGTGGGACTTGGACAGTTTTTTAAAGGGGATACATGCTCGGAAAAAACCCGTTTGCGAACTATTGTTAGACAGCCAGCAACTCGGATTTGAGTCTAAAATATTTGGTGTCTGTTGTTACGACATGCGGCATGAAGAATCCGTGCTCAGTCAGTGACGTGTGCACACACACACACACTCGCACCTTTTTCCCCACCACGTCTCACCACTGCCCGCTTGCTAAAATGATATTTGAATCAAATTCCTTCTGATCTGACCTTAAACTTCTCGTTTTATTACACATGTGCATCGGATCGGTGTGCGAGCTCCCCCTGGCACCCCCCACCCCACCTTTCCCCACGGACTCCTCTTCTCCTTGCCCCCACCACGACCACCACCACCACCATCATCATCAGCATCATCATGTGTATCTCCTCCCATCCTCTGGCGGAGTGCGACGCGCACAGAGCAGCTCTGACATCCCGCAGCAGCCTGCAGGTAAGCCCGCGTCCCTCCTTTCAACGCATCCGATTGCAACGCGTGTGTGCTCGATTTTCAATGCGCCTCCGTCCGTCCGTGCGTGTGCATGCGTGCGTGCGATTTTGCCGCTAGAAACGCGTAGCCGATTGCACCGCAGCTCGGCCACCTTGCACTCGCGTGTTTACGGGCTCCAATTTAGTCCGTCGTTCGGCCACAGTGAGGAAAAACGTGCCCGATGACAGAATTTTTTGGATTATTTAATGTACAACGCGGGGACTATAATTAGCTGCGTCAATTATGCAAATTATGTCCTTTTAATAGCTTATTGGGAGCCCAGCTCAACCACCCCCCCTATCGTCTACAGCCCCCCCCACTTACATCCATGTTCACTAATCTCATCAGTGCCACAATCGATAATTTGTCGATGTTTCAATGTAATTTGTGTGCTGCCAGGCGTCCATTTTGCCCTCCCGCCCCCATTCCCTCTTCCATGCCCCCCACGAGTAGCCAGTGCAGGCAGGGGATGATGCATGTGTGTGTGTGTGTGTGTGTGTGTGTGTGTGTGTGTGTGTGTGTGTGTGTGTGTGTGTGTGTGTGGCTGATCTGTTAAGTGAATGCACCGCAGTCTGCATCACTATTCACGAGCTTGGCACGCTTGCAGCCTCCTCTGTGTGCTGGTGTATGTGCACATAGACCACCCCTGCCCCCTCCCCTCCACACAAACACCCCACCCCACCACCGCCATCCCATCCTCGCCAGACGTCATGTTGACGATGACCCACATGATGTTCATCTGAGGCATGGTTGTTTGTCCACTCATAAAAATAAAGTCCCCGCTGTTTTGCACCGATTCCTCTTATCGTTTTCATGAAAGCACATGTGGAGAGGAAGGTGCGAGGGGATGTGTGCACTGCAGCATTCAGGGGACCCCCTGCTCCCACACCCAAAAAAAAAAAAAAAGGAAGCCGCAGCAGTCAAGCACTTGTGTGTGCGTGTGTGTGTGTGTGTGTGTGTGTTAAGATAAGATCAGAAAACCTTTATTTGTCTCACAGTGGAGAAATTCCCAATTTACAGCAGCAAAATTCTGAAAAGGAGAAAGTAGAAGACAAAAGTGTGTACTCTGCTATAGCACGCCAAATTGAACCATGTTGGCGTGTCCATCAGCACCTGCTGTGACTCAACGTGTGTGATCCCACATCCTGGATGCAGGATGCACCAAATTTTCCATATTTTTCTCCACAAATCGTGGCTGGAGACATTGATTTACGCCAGTGCAGAGGGAGGGACCTGTTTGCTTTCTTTGTTGAAAAGCAGCGCAACGTTACAAAACGTGTCAAGTGAAACCAGAGCTGGAAACAAAGTGAGCCTGATTTTTATGGACTACTGTAGAGAAACTGAAGCTGTTCGGTTCTCATGGATTTACACAATATGGTTGTGTCGGCTACCCGGCACTAGTAGACATGCACTGACGCTAATTTGACCACGTGGCAGAAGTTTCAGTGAAATCCCAACTGCATGTTACATGCTGTCTGAGTATGAACGCTAGGGGGCACTATGTTAAAGGGGTACAGAGATAAGAGGCGAAGAAGAACATTTTGTCATACAGAACAGACAGTTAATTGCCATGCATTACCGACGTTAAAAAAAACAAACAAACAAAAAAAACACAAATTACAAAACATAAATAAAACTAACTTGTATTTGTTGGTTCTTGGCGCGCTTTTTAGTATGCCAAAACATGAGTTGCGGAAGAGGTCTCTTTAAAACTAATTGACAAACTGTAGGCCTTACAAATTCTAATTCAGATGAAAAAACTGTTGCTTTGGTTAGCAACCGGGTTAGCAATTCAGAACACGAATAGCTTTCGTGTCATTGCACCATGGGGTGCACCAAAATGGAGCCTGCCCAATAACTAAGAGGGAGAGGGTATGACCGAATGATAGGAAGCTCAGTCGCCTTTTGCACTGCCCTCTTTTGGCAGATGAAAAGAAAAACATAAGAGCACTCTCTTATGCTTTTCACCCCTCCCACTCACTAGTGGGAGGGGTGAAAAACACGACAACCCCACACTGTGCTCCTGTAAAGGGAGCACAGTATGCTGTTTTTTTTTGGGGGGGGGGGAATTTAGCAAACAGGCCTAAATGATGCTTGAGTCTCTTAAATGAATGCAGAAATGGACCAGTCACTGGAAGAAGCTTCATCTTCTCACGCATTCATTACTGTTCTCAATATCCTGTTGGGGGGGTGTTTCCTAAAGCGCCTACTGAGGGGTCCTGTCAAAACCCCGATGGATTGATTGATCAAGTGGTGTGGTGTGTCCCAATACTTTTGTCCACTTAGCATCCGCGTACACGTGGCCTTGAAAGACTCCGTCTAGGGATTCTGGATTGCCGCCAAGTCGATGATTACACTACTAGGTGACTCATTCCAGTCAACGGTAGCCCACTCAGCTGGAATGAGACGATTTACCGGTACTCATGTCGCGGACTTCACGACGGACAGCCAAAACTTAAGCTAACAAGAGCAAGCTAACAACATAGGTCTGTCTCGGTCGATTCGAGTATGCCGACTGGACTAGTCAGCATGCCTGCGTCATACAGGATGAGTCGCTCGTGCTGTTGAGCGCAAGTCGACGATACGTGCAATTAGCTCTCATTCCTTCGTGAACACGTCGAGGAGGCCACGGCGGCGCCTTTAGCATTTGCTGATTGTGCCTCGTGGGTGTGCCTGCTCGGAGTCGATCCTAAGAAAGAACATCATTCATCAAGAAATGTCATGATTAGTTGCGGCCTCTGTGGGGACGAGTGATTTCTTTCAATCGAACAATCACGATCAGAATTGATTTTATTACGGTACGTTCACAATAAGGAATTTTTGGGAGGGGGGGTGGGGGTCTGATCGTCCAACATAATGACAAAAATAAAATAGGAGTTCACTAATAAAGAACAAGAAGCAAAGCCCACCAGGAATCTGATCTTCCCGAGTACTTTTCAGCCTAAGTGGGCTTCCGCATGCATATTTATGTCCGATCATCCAAGAGCACTATTTCGGGAGCCTCTTAGACCAAGGTGTGAGTGTCACCGCCTCCTCAGGCGCTTGTGCTCCGACAAGCGGGGACGAGGTCACATGCAGGCGGAGGTGGACAGCGAAATGCCTTTTTAAAGATGACCTCTCTTGCCGTTGTATCGTCATCACGTTTGACAGTGCCGGCGCTTTGAGGCTTTGTGCGCTTGTGCCCGCGCGTTTGCTCGCGCTGGTGTTGAGCTACCTGCGTGGTGGGCCCGCCCGTAGATATTTGTGCGTCTGCGGAGCTTTGTGTCACGATTTGGAGGAGAAAACGTTTTATCAGACAACACACGCCTCCATTTAGCCGCCCGGCGCCGTCACCCGCCAGACCCAATTTCCATACTTGCATCCGTTGCGGGCCTTGAACTTGTAATCCTCCCATCCCTAGCGTGAGCCTCCGCAGCCGCGCTCGCACCTCTTTAGGAACATTATCTTCGGCGATGAAAAATTAAGGTGGCGGTACGTTCACAATAAGGAATTTTTGGGAGGGGGGTGGGGGTCTGATCGTCCAACATAATGACAAAAATAAAATAGGAGTTCACTAATAAAGAACAAGAAGCAAAGCCCACCAGGAATCTGATCTTCCCGAGTACTTTTCAGCCTAAGTGGGCTTCCGCATGCATATTTATGTCCGATCATCCAAGAGCACTATTTCGGGAGCCTCTTAGACCAAGGTGTGAGTGTCACCGCCTCCTCAGGCGCTTGTGCTCCGACAAGCGGGGACGAGGTCACATGCAGGCGGAGGTGGACAGCGAAATGCCTTTTTAAAGATGACCTCTCTTGCCGTTGTATCGTCATCACGTTTGACAGTGCCGGCGCTTTGAGGCTTTGTGCGCTTGTGCCCGCGCGTTTGCTCGCGCTGGTGTTGAGCTACCTGCGTGGTGGGCCCGCCCGTAGATATTTGTGCGTCTGCGGAGCTTTGTGTCACGATTTGGAGGAGAAAACGTTTTATCAGACAACACACGCCTCCATTTAGCCGCCCGGCGCCGTCACCCGCCAGACCCAATTTCCATACTTGCATCCGTTGCGGGCCTTGAACTTGTAATCCTCCCATCCCTAGCGTGAGCCTCCGCAGCCGCGCTCGCACCTCTTTAGGAACATTATCTTTGGCGATGAAAAATTAAGGTGGCAGTCTTTTTTTAAAAAGCAGCTAGCCCAAGTACACCGTGTGCCTTCTTGCCTCCTATTTTTGGGTCACGAGGGGCCACGAGCACTCACCAGATATGATATTAGCCCTTTAATGCCTGACCCATCAGGGAATAGCCAAATCTGATTTTTGGGAACTGAGATGTTCTTTAATTAACCCTTATAACAAAATCCACCAAAATATTTTTGCCATATCATGTTGTTTTAGATATTTGTCGTATCCCATTTATAAGCACTATGTAGATTACATCTGAAAAAGAAAATTTGCGGAAAATCATATTTTAAACCTGCAGTATCAAATTTGATACAGATGATTCACTGTAATATAAAGAATGAGTTCCATCATAAAAATGCATGTATCAAATATGATAGAAATGGCATTATAGGGTTAAGGATAGCGGAGTCATCCAGTGATTCCCCGCAAGTCCTCACAGTTTCCCGTTACGACAGAGAGAAAAATCGGCAAACATCGGTCAATCTTGTGAACGTCTTATGTGAGTTGTTGGATGTCCAGAATAAACAAAACGAGAAACAATCGGCAATAAATCGGATGATTTGGCAAATATCAGTGGATTAATCCGTCCAGCCCTACGAGAAACACGTCCGAGTCGTGTTTTAAAATTTTTTTTTTTTTAAACAAAACTCTTACATCGTGTATGACGTTGTGCCGGTGTCCCTAATGTTGTGGCCAGTGGCCGACTCCAGCTCGGCTGTGCGAACGTCGCAAATGGCCGCAGTCTTTGTGTCGTGTATCTCGACTGATATTCACCCGCTCACACGGGGCTAAATCATGACCGATGTCCTCATGAATTCAACACGCAGCCGACTTTGTCGATGTATGTGATGAAAAGCTAACGGTGCGGATGCGATGATATTCAAAGGGCCTACGGGACAGATTCTCGCGCCGCGCAGGACCACTCACACTCACATTCACGCCGATCGAAGATTTAGTCGTCGGCGAATCTAAAAAAGTAGAGCTCAGACTCGCCATTCACTATTTGTGTCGACATGAACAAATGAGCACCGGATCGACTCAAATTGGCTACTCCTTGTCGTTTTGTCAAAAAAAAAAAAAAAAAAAACATGTCGTAGCCCATGAAATCAAAATGCTCATTTGATCAACATGCTAAATGGTTCTGGGTGTGCACTTTTCGCTTTGGCTGCACCATGCAAAAATGTAGCTGTCGTGGACACTGGCGTAAAAAGTTGCTGCTTCTTTTTTTTTTTTTCCTCGGAGTCCGTGTGAAATTTGAAACAAGAGTCCGAGCTGTAGAAACTTTATGAATGAAAAACTGAGGGAATCTGTTGCACATTTTGGGTGAAGAGTCTGTGCAAATAGGCTGACGGGGTTTTAAGGTCAGAATCAATCATTGGAAATGGCCCATGGGGGGGTTTGACGATGAGCCTGAATGACTTTTGACGGATGCTCTCTTTTGGCCTCTTTAACTGTCATCCGGTCGTTACGCCAGCGGTCTTTCCAGATTTGATCAGAGTCGTACTGTGGCGAGTTGAGCTCACCTGGGAGCGTTCATCACTTCTGTCCAGCGTCCCAAGTTTTGCAAATTCCTTCAGTTTGTTGCTCGGACGGCATTTGAGGCCAACGGCAAAGTGACGATAAAGGCGTCGATACGCTGCTTAGACGGGTTTTATTGACAGACTGCTTCAGAATTGAATGCTCAATGGCCTGCTAAACACTCCCATCCGCGCACAAACCCTTGCGGGTGTCGCTCGCGAAGACAGCGGGCTTCACACAATGCTGCACCACCCCAGCCCACCCCCGTCACAGCCGTACATGCACGAGCTGAAAATTCTGATTCGATTGTTAAGGGATTCAAATAAAAAAAAAAAAAAATTGCACCATTTGACCCGTCCCAAAATGTCTCAACCTTGTGTCAGTTCATCGATATCGACGAGGATTGCTCAAATCCTTCTCGAGGCTAAATCCGAAATACCAATTTAAGCACCAGAATGTTTAAAATCTTTTTTTTTTTTTTTTTTTAATCGCGCTCTCTTGTCCTTTCACGCTCTCCTGCTCTCACCCTCTGTTAATTATTGGAAGGAAATGGGAAGTGCTGATAATTAAATGGCAATTATGATCTTCCACGCAGGGGACTTTTGGTCGGGGGAATCATAAGTAAGGTCACTGGAAAGGTCACGCGCATGGATGGGCCTTTTTGGGAGGCCTTGGAGATAGATAGTGCAAGCTTTCGAGATGGGTATTCTCCTTTGGGAACCACTTTATGCTGATCGGGATAAAATGTCATCGTATTACGTACACACACAAACACGCTCGCGTCGTTTGCTTCCACGCAATGTAAAACGAAGCCACACTGCAGCAGTGTCGCTTGACAGTTTACATAATAAGGAGGCAGGAGAGAGCGCTACGAGTATGACGAGGACGTCTGGCTGGGGGGTTGGGGGTGGGGGGGAATTCAACAGTTTCCAACGCAGTGAGGAACAAACGCGCCGTCTTTCGTCGCATCTCTGAGGCTGAGGAGTGTGGGGGGAGGGGGCGAGGGTAGGGGGCGCTCGCAAGGCAAACGGGATGTAACCTATTTTGCTCACGATGCCATATTGCGTCATCAAATATTAACAAGGATTCATGTCGGCTCACTGCATGCGTGTGTGCGCCGTTGTGTCCGATGCGTGCATTTTCTTTGGAGGTTCACAAAGCAAAAAAAAAAAAAGAAAAAACACTGGAGGGTGCTTCTCATCTGTGCCAATCGCGTGTTTTAGCCAGTGCGCATGCGCTGCTCGGGAGCATCTGTGTCGCAGTCGACACACACACACACACACACACACACACACACACACACACACACACACACACACACACACACACGCACACACGTGCGCATTAAACGAACATGAACACATGATCATGGTTTAAAATGTCCCCCCTCCATCCTCAATTTTTGCTCTTTCTCTTTCCGTTTGCTCTCTTGTCTCCCTCCTCCAAAGCTCCCCCAGATCCTTCGCTCTATGCTGATCTTTGGAATTCAATGTTGCCATGGTAACATCGTCGGGTTGGTCGATTTCTCCCCCCCTTTTTTTTTTCCCCCCCATCCTCTTTTCAGACGATGAGATGCAGCACAAGTCGCGCTCAAGTCATTCCGCCTTTTAGGCTCCAATGTGTCAGTCCATGCGTTCCAATCCACAAACAAACAATCTAGTTCATGGAAATAGCCGCTTCTGATTTGACAACTTCATATCTTAGGAGGAGTCTCCAAGATGAGAGCTGCGGAAAATGATCACAATCGAAGCTGTCTCAGAATCTTCACATTCAACAATATGCTCATTGTTGCGGTGACGGCGCAAGTGCGCCGCACGACATTGAGAGGTGTTCCTAATATTTGGGTGATCTTATTGCGATAAACGATGGGGCAAAATGCTCCAAGTTCGACGTGACTGCAGTCGCCGTAATGGGTGTGTTATTGTCATCGAGACGTTTAGTTTGAATGAATTTGGTGGGGATGGCGACACTGTTGGCGCTCAGGTGTCGCTGCAGGTGTACCTAATGTTGTGACCGCCGTCCACGCAGCTTTTGTACGGATGCGAATACGCAAAGAAACCTTTTCCAGCTAAAATCGAACCACAGATTATCGCCATCATGCGAATAACGTAACTCGCTTTCGGCATGCGAACATGTCCTTTGGCTCCTGCTCAGTGCAGGGGCGGAGATATGCTATTGTAATACGGGGCAACATTCCTTTCAACCCCGTATTGCCAAACATCCGGCTCATTTCACTGCGCTCCGAAAATTGGTCCCGACCAATCTCAGAGCAGTTTTTCGAGCACATTTTTCAACAGGATGGCCACATGCCGTCACTGAGTGAAATCAAACAAAACTTGGTGGATTCATTTATTCACGTATTTCTGATGAATTATTCAAGTAAAAACAAAAACAAAAACAAAAAAAAAAAACGTCAGCTCGGCAGCAAATGCTAACGATCAGTTTGAAGATGCATTTGACATGGCGATCAATTGAGAGCGATGAGGAAATGAAGGCGCGTGTTTTCCTTCGAGATGAGGCGCTGTCTGATTTCATCTGCATGTTTAAAACGGCCCCTTCTTTCTTTCTTTCTTTCTTTCTTGCTTTCTGTGTGCACAGCTGAGCAGTGACGGTGGATGCTTTGGTGCCGGCTTCCTGCTAGCGGAGGAGCGAGCAAAGGAGAGCGCGACGAGTGTCCAAGACTCAGCACTCCGCTGGCACCGGCGACTCTAGCGAGAAAGGCAGCGGGAAGGAGCGAGTGAGAGAGAGAGAGAGAGAGAGAGAGGGCAGTGCACCGAGGAGAGAGCGAAAGAGAGTGGGGAGCGGCTGAGAACAGTCGATGGATGCTGTCCGGTTTGAAGGGGCAGCACGTTCTTCACTGACGAGGAAAGGAAAGATTTCAAAATTGAGTCGAAGGATAGAAACTCGCCGTCAGGTAAGTCGAGTTCTTCGCTCGCCCCGGATTGAGTCTCAGAAGCGTGGAAACCCGGCGGACGTTCGGGAATGCGTGTCACACGTTTGGGTCGCACCTCGGGGACATTTTTTTTCCATGAAAGGAGCGGCCGCCGGCCAAAATATTAGGTACACCCGCTAAGTCTGCCTTCACAAAGACGATACTGGTTTCGATTGACGTCGTCAGGATGCATTCAAAGGTCCGGCCAAGTGAATTCAGAGATTTGGTTCGACTAACTCTGTCGTATTCAAGTGTGTCATTATGAAGTCGTTACACTGGGGAAGGTGCGGCATGATGCCCTTTGCAGTGCCACATGAATTGCCCCGCCTCCACTCTATGAGAAGTCCGGCGCTTTTGTTCGCATCGATGGTTAGTTGGCGCACTTGCGACATGCATTTAGTAAGCTAGTTATGCCTAAACTCCGAAAATGCATCTCTCCTTTGGATAGTCACTTGCGAGCGCCTCACTGCTTGCTGTGAGTGTGCACTTGACACGCCGAGAAAGGCGGAAGAGCGTGGGGGGGATTTATTGATGATTTTTCTTTGAAAGTCCGACTTGACCGTCAGCATGGGGAACGGGGCTTTGGCCAGAGAGCGCCTCGTTGTTGGCCATGATTGCAGGCACGTCACACAGAAAAAGATGGGAGAGCCAGGATGGGGAAAAAAATGATATATGTCTGATTTGACAGCCGGCATGTGGATCAGGGCTTCGGGCTGGCGTGGCTGCTATAGAGTGCCTCGTGGTTTCCCATGAGTATGAGGATGTCAACTTGCAATTAAGTCAGTCGAATAAGGAAATAAACACGGAGGAGGAAGGATTGGGAAAAAGCTCAACGACAAGCGTATGTCCTTTTGGGCTGATGTGGCCACTTTAGAGTGCCTTGTTGTTGGCCGTGAGCGTGCACACCCTCATCCACACCCGTCAAGAGCGATGAGGACAATATGACTGCAGTTGTTAAACTGAAACAAATGTCTGAACTCACGTGACAGAGTTTTCACATAAAGCATGTTCAGGTTTCTTGTCGCGCTGTTCGTTGTTATTTAAATTTGTAAAGGCGCGTCCTTCTTGACCGAAAGGGATTTCAGCAAGGATCTTGTGCACGTGTGCGGGTGTTTATGCATTCCTCTCCAGTCTTGCCTTCCGAGTTCTAAGGGGAGCGGGGTTGTCAGGGTTATGAATATGGAGTAGCCGGGCAGGGTGCGATCTGGAGTGTTTCGCATCACTTCTGGCTCGTTAAGCCGAGTCAGCAGAGTCAGCCAGCTTTCCTTCCAAGGACACGTCATCATTTCGGCACCTCACTCCTCCTCCTTCTTCACCTCTCAGCGTCCTCCCCCCTTCTCTCCCCTTTTCCCCTTCTCATCTCACCTGCAGGGCCGCAGTGCGCCTCAATGAGGTGACGAGTCCTAAAGTGAGATGATTTTCCCGTCCCTTGTCATTCTTTCTCTGGCTTCTTAACACCAGCTTCCCGGCGAGCGCGGCAGCCACGTTTGCCAGAAACGGAGCGTGCCGTCGGATTTGGGCCATTCTGTGTTCAAGTCGTTGACAGTACGATGCGTTCTCTGTCGACCCGTCACGTTCGGACGGGGTCCCCCGCCTTTGTCGCCTTTGCAGCGTGTTTGGCACCCCCAGCAGAGTTGAATGAAGGTGTCGACGTGGCTTGACTTTTGTTTTCCAAGGCATGGTGTGTGAGAAGGGGATCCAGATCCTCCTCACCACCGTGGGGGCGTTCGCCGCCTTCGGCCTGATGACGGTGGCCATAGGGACGGACTACTGGCTGTACTCCCGGGCCCTCATCTGCAACAGCACGGCCAACGTCACGCAGGACGACCCTCACAACAAGGACAAGAAGGACCCCGGGGCGCTCACCCACTCTGGACTGTGGAGGATATGCTGCCTGGAAGGTACGGGCAAGATGCTACCCGACGTGACGCGATTGGTGGCAACGAGTGCTTTGGTTGTCTGGGTGAAGGCACAAGGCAACGACACCTGTCACGACTCCAGACTAACGTTTTGCACTTGTGTGCCTCGCCGTTTTTTTTCGTTGGTGCACCAGCACAAAATGTAGGTGTACCCAAATTCTCCACTGCCTCGCATTCAACACTGCAGTGTTAGGGTTAGGGTTGGGTTTAGATTTTTGGAGTTGGGGTTGGGGTTTGGTTTATGGTTAGGGGTAGGGGTTAGGGTTCGGGGGTTAGGGTTAAGTTTAGGGCTTGAAGTTAGGGTTACCGTGAGGGTGTTCGGCTTAGGGGTAAGTTTTAGCGTTAGACTTAGGGTTCAGTTCAGGGGTTAGGGTCTAAACCCTGACCCTACCCCCCTGACCATAAACCTAATCCCTAACGCTAACCCTAAACCCAAGCCCTAACTCCTAACCCCCTAATCCTAAACCTGACCTAAACCCTAACTCTAAACCAACGGTAACCCTAAACCTAAAACCTTAACCCTAACCCACTAAACCTGTCCCTAACCCTAACCCAATCATAACCCGAAACCTAAAACCCTAGCGGTTAGGGGTTAGGGTTAGGTTTAGGGGGAGGGTTAGGGTGGTTAGGGTTAGCATTAGGGGTTAGGGTTTGCAGTTAGGGTTAAGGGTTAGGGTCAGCGTTCAGGTTCGGGGTTTAGGGTTAATGTTAGGGGTTAGGGTTGGGTTAGATTTAGGGGTTATTGGCTAGGGTCAGAGTTAGAATTAGGGGTTAGGGATCGGGTTATGGATTGGTTAGCTGTTAGCCTTAGGTTTAGGGGTTAAGGTTAGAGGTTATGTTTAGGGTTTGGGTTAAGGTTAGGGTTTAGGGTTCATGTTTAGGGTTAAGTTTTGGGGGTTAGGGTTTGGGGGTTAGGGGTTAAGGTTAGAGGTTAGGGTTTGGGTTAAGGTTAGGGTTTAGGGTTCATGTTTAGGGTTAAGTTTTGGGGGTTAGGGTTTGGGGGTTAGGGGTTAAGGTTAGAGGTTAGGGTTTAGGGTTAAGGTCAGGATTGAGGGTTCAGGTTTAGGGTTAGAGTTTGGGGGTTTAGGGTCAGGGGTTAGGGTTGGATTAGGTTTAGGGGTGAAGGCTACAGTCTGAGTTAGGATTAGGGGTTAGGCTTTTAGGTTTAGGGTTATGGTTGGGTTCGGGTTAGGGTCGGTTTTAGGGTTAAGGGGTTCGGGTTAGGGTAAGGATTTAAGGTTCGGGTTTTTGTCGGGATAGGGTCAGGTACAGGCTTAGAGGGTTCGGGTTAGTGTGAGGGTAACACGTTCCTTTCCAACGCGTCATCAGCATCCAATGGCAGCAAGCTTCGGTGTGCCGGTTCTGGCCCGCGGGCCGTGAGTTTGACACCGGTGCTTTAGCCGCTCAACGTGCGACCCCACTGATGTGCACCTCCATCTGCTTCTTCACAGAGCAACATTGCCCAGCGACAAAGGGAGGGCCCGCCAGCCGTCCCACGTCTGTCCATCTGTCCCTCCGTCTGTGTGTCTTCATTCCACCACTCCATCTTACCTCACAATCCATCAGCGAGCGTGTCACCGTCGTGCGTGTGCGCTTGTATGTATTTACTAACACCACACGTCGCACGCGTGCCTCACTAACGTCCCGCTTGTTGTTTGATCTGTACGCCGGCCGAGGAGACGCCGGCGCTGATGTCAGTGCTTTCGGCTCTCTGGAGGACGCCCGCCGTTCTCCGTTTGTCGCAGTTGGCCTTCTGACTTCTTGTTCTCTTGCTGGCGTGTGCTCATCACTTTTTATTCCGGCCCTCTCTCCCACTCTCCGTCTTTCACATCTCAGGAGTCAAGCGAGGAGTGTGTTCGCAGATCAACCACTTCCCGGAGGATGCGGACTTTGACCACGACGGGGCCGAGTACGTCCTACGTAAGTCAAACGGCTGCTCTTCGGTCTTGCCGCCGCGAAGGAATCAACACGTGACAACGTGGGCTAAAAAGTCACGGGAGATGGTGCGGCCTCGTTGACGCTCAAGGCCCCACGGCGGAAGCCTTTGTGCGCTGGGATACGCCGCACGTGCGCACACAAGCTTGTTTACGATGTTGCACAGGCATCTTGTTGGCATTTTGCTGGCATTTTCTCTCCTGTGGCCTACTTGTTTCCTGTGTGTGTGTATGTGCGTGTGCGTGTGTGCGCATACGCACACATGCTTTCCCATGTCCCATTTACATCCAACTAAACTGAATTCAGAAGCAATTCTTTTCGTTTTTTTGTTTTCTTTTTTTCAAACAAACATAATAGAATTTAAAGTACATTTTGTGTCATCTGCATCAATTGAATGACCGTTGCTCATTCTGGTGTGTCCACCTTGGCCACCGACTACACCGAGACATCACAACCTCTCCCTCAGCTCATCAGTGCAGCATGAGTATCTGTCATTCGACCCGGGAGGCAAAGATTATATAACTGAGTCCTGTAATTTGTGTCAGTCTATATGTGTTGCTCCACCGTTTGTGCTCAAGCTGTTGCTTCAAGGGTTCCACCACTGCACCATAGATGCTATTTACCGGCAGCATTAATTAAGCGAGCAGCCTGAAGGACTAAGCCATGTGGTCGTTTTAAACACATGAACGACGGTGTAATCCTCTTTTGTTTAAGGATGAGTCAATGTCAACTGTGTTGTTCAGCACTTCTTCTTTGGCTTTGCAGGCGTGGTGAGGGCTTCCAACATCTTCCCCATCCTCAGCGCCATCCTGCTGCTTTTGGGAGGCGTGTGCATCGCTGCGAGCCGTTTCTATCGGAGCAAACGGAACATCATCCTGGGGGCGGGGATTCTCTTTGTGGCCGCAGGTAACACGAACGACTCGCTGGCGTTTCAGCACACTCGAAGCGTCCTTCTCCAGTGTCCACTTGTGGTGACCACACTCTCACTGCCTTTTGGCTTTTGTTATAAATGGATGGTTTGCTGTTGGTCATTCCTTTTTCTTTCTCTCTTCAACGGGTTGTTGTTGCACTTTGCGGTACATTGCCACTCAAGCTCTCCCGTCTATGAAAAATAAACGTCACGGAAACAGTTGGAGAGCACCGGTGGAGCGAAAGGCGCACCCCAGGGAAGTTAACCATGCGATGGTATTTTTTCAGGTCTGAGCAACATCATCGGCGTGATCGTGTACATCTCGGCGGCGCTGGGCGACATCTCCCCCAAGAAGGACGAGGACAAGAAGTGGCAGTACTCGTACGGTTGGTCCTTCTATTTCGGCGGTCTGTCCTTCATCATGGCCGAGATGGTGGGCGTGCTGGCGGTCAACATCTACATCGAGAAGAACAAGGAGCTGCGCTGCCGCTCCCGCACCGACATCTTCAAGAGCACCACGCACGCCATGCTGCGCCTGCCCAGCTACCGCTTCCGCCGCCGCTCCCGCTCCTCGTCGCGCTCCACCGACCCCTCCCGCTCCCGAGACCCTTCGCCGGTGGGCGGCGGCGTGGGGAAGAACTTCGGGCTGCCCCCTTCGGCGCTGCTCTCCCAGGGCCCCATCTCCGTGTCCACGCTGCCCAACCCACACTCGCGCTCCCACGCGGCGCTGGCCGCGGGCGACATCTCGCTTTACACGCTGTCCCGCGACCCCAAACTGGGCGGCCTGCCGCCCATGTACGGCACGGTGGACCGCGCCACGCTCTACCAGCTCCACAACTGCTTCCCCAAGGATGGCGGCGGCGGCGGCGGCATGATGAGCGGCACGCTGCCCTCGCTCAAGTCCCACAACCCTTCCAACTCCTCCAACTCCAACGTGCCAATGCCCAACTCGGTGGGCTCGGGACCGCCTCCCTTCACCTCGTCCACGGTGGACAGGGAGCGAGGGATGGGCACTCTGGACAGGCTGAAGGGAGACAGGGAGAGCAACTCCAACACCCTCAATAGGAAGACCACACCCGTGTAAAAGCAGGAAGTAGCCGTCGTCCGGCTCAGCTGAAATGTTCATCTCTCCCTCCGCGACGAAAAGCAGAGTGCAGTCATCACAGAGCGATCATAACAAACAACCACAATGAACTCTCGCAACAAAACTATTTTGATATTTCCACGTGCTAGAAATGATTTATTTTGTTAACGATCAACATGCAAACTAACCTTGGGCTAACTACAAAAAAAAAAAAGAAAGAAAATTGTGCAATATTACCGCTAATTTCGCAGACCTGCGTTAGCGTCAATTGTTGTTGTGATTATGTTTTGCGTTTGTACGAGGGATGGGCAGAACAATCCATTGGTGTCAATTCTGGCATGCCTCGTGTCTTAGTAGCATCCTTTTGTTTTTTTTTTTGTCAACTACGCGTACGACTTCTGGCCTCGGCGATACAACTAACATGCAATTATGCACTACTAGAATGTGACGACACATACCTAGTGGGACATTTCTGTCACGGTGGAAACAATTGCCAATAACATTCTACTAGTTGACCTCTAGGGGCTCCCTTTCCATAGATGGCGCATCTGCAACGGGGCGCAAAAAGCGGGCCCTGATTTTTGTTGTCATTGGAGATTTTCCAGGTGGGGGTGACACAAGAACAATTGGGGGCGGGGGGTTCCAAGTGCCTACTACACAGCACAGACGTGCTTGAGACTCGAGTGCACGGCGAGCCCGCCGCAGGACTGCGAGGAGCTGCTTTGATTGTCCATGATTAAAGTCAGCTGTGACTATTCCCGCAGTGGCGCAGACCTCCCTCTCTCAGATCTGATGGAATGACCCTAATGCTTCACGAAGAGTGCAGAAATGTCAACTATTGCACTTTTACCTCTGAGTAATATGCAAAAGTTGTCCCATGGGGAAAAAAAACAAACTGTGTTCGTCAGAAACAGTCATCCACCCTTAATTCTAATGTGCTGCATTGTCTTACTGGTGAGCACACAAGTACACGGATAAATGCTTTCCATACGCTACTAGTATGCAATTACAGTTAACAAGCGCGCAATTACATGGAAAGTACGTCGAGAAGTGTAACTTTTCAGGAACCCATTTGACATTTCCAGCAGAACCACTTTGGCGCACTAGTAGGACAACTGCGTTACTTGTAAAGTGAGACTGTGCACTAGTAGGCAACGGTGTGCTTCTAGTACTCCTGGTGACGATGAAGTGACACGACTTGTACTAAAGATCTTGCGTGTGTCACTTGTAGTGCAGCCGGCACTGCTAATTCTGAAGGCGCCGGGCAGATTTCAGTGCCGTTGCGAGACCCAGAGGCGGAATAATTCAATTCAACGTTCACATACATTGATTGAATGAAGACAATAGATTGTTCGGAATAAAATAATCCAACATCCTGGAACAAAAATGAGTAATTTGGACAAAAATTGAATTGCCCCCACCCTCCAAGTGCCAAAGAACTTGCAAAAGCAAACACAAGTCAACTCATTTGCTTTTCTGTCGTGACTGAAGGAAATGTTTTGGAATGAGTGCTTCTGAGCTCGCTCCGTTGTCCGAAGTCAACGTTTCCATCTTGCTGAATTTTACTGTGACTTTGGTTTTTTTTCCCCCTTCTAAGTCAGGGGACGGCAAACAGCGTGTTCTCGTGTCCAGCATGAGTGTGCACAAAATCTCGCTCTGAGTGAATGATTTCTTTGGACTCGGCGGCTACGAGTACCACATTGATTTTGTTGTTGTTTTGTTGACCAGATGTGAATACTGTAAATTGTCTTCCAATATTAGCAGGAAAAAAAAAAACCCGAAGACGTGCAACAATAACGACTCAGTTTTGGCCTCTGTTCGTCTTCGTTCCATTCCGATCCGTGTCGACAGTACTTCTTGTAGCGCTTAGTCATGTTGAAGATGTTTTGTTCTTTGGGCATTAACGACAACCTCGAGTTTGAGACGGGACAAAATAGAAAATATGTACAGTACCAGGGAAAAAAAAGGAAGAAACCCCCCACCCCCCCACCCCAGAATCATCTCTTTTCTATCAGTCCCAAAGTGACACACAAAAAAAAAATAAAAATCAAGCATCATGTAAATGTGGATTTCGGAGGGTGATTAAAAAAAATCTACATTGTAATTTATGCATACATATATTTGTAAATGCTATCAAGAAAAATGAGCTTTTGTTACTTGGACTCTAACTTGGTGGTTTACCTCATTAGCCTCCCCACCCCTGTGACCTTTTGACCCGCCCCCTTTCCCAAGCACCTCCCCAAAGATTCTTTACACTGTGCTTCCTCGCTCCTCTTCCCTTGAACCAAGGCGATGAGACTGAAAGCGGCTTGACACGCTCTTCTTTTTTTTTTTTCTTCTCTTCTTGAGGATTTGACTGCTGCGACATGATGCAACCACCCAAAACAAACGAAAAAAAAAAAGCCAACGCTTCCAGCTTTTTGGGAAATTCTTTGGCAACATTCTGGGAGTTAAAAGTGGCAAGCGTGCACACGGAGAGCATTTAGTTGGGCAATTTGAATCTTATGGAGTAGAGACAGCGACAACTGAGTATGGTTTATCTAAATGTGTGATCAACTCCAACACTGTATTGCACGAAGTTTATAAAAAACAAAACAAAAACAACATTGAACAATCAATGCCGACTTTTGTCTTTTTTCACTTCAAAAATCATAAAATCCCAAATTTTAATGACAAAATGTGAATCTGGATTGTGTTTCATGATCCCTTTTTTGCTTAAGTCAAGGTCGTTGCCTGTTTTTTTTTTTTCTTTAATACTTATGGATTCAATGAGCATGTTTTTGGAATGTGGGAGGAAACCGGAGTACCCGAAGAAAACCCACGCAGGCCCAGGGAGAACATGCAAACTCCACACAGGGAGGCTGGAGCGGGGATCGAACTCACGACCTCTGCACTGTGAGGTCAACGCGCTAACCACTGGACCACCGGCCACTCCCGTGTCCAGCCCACATTATATAAATACAACCGAGATCGCATGTCACAGATCCCGTTTCTGCCCAAAGGGAGCGCTCACCAACAAGACGGATACGGCTTGCGACACTAATTATCCCGGCGGGAGGTGTCCGGGCTGTTCGAGCCCTCATGGGGCACTTTGGACGGCACTTGGAGAAGGTGCACGCACGTTGAGGTTGAGTGTGGAAAAGTAAACGATGAGGCACACATAGTTGAAATTCACGGATAAGGTTTCCAAACAGCAATGATAGCCTAATTATAGAGTTGGAGTAGGGTCGGTGAGGCTCTGCAGGCAGAAAGGTCACTTGTAAGGTGAATTGGAGGGAAAATTATTTTTCATGTTTACTCATGGGGAAAAAAAAACACGCACGCACACACACAAACCAGAGATATATGTCGTAACAAGTTTTGATTTTACCAACCAGTCAGAGGACAGAACCATGCCGATGTGATTGAGGATGAATTTGAAATCTGACGACAGTGCCGTTGCTCACAATGTTGACGTTTCCTGATTCTGAAGGGCCTGGGGCAGATTCATTTGGCATGGCAACACAATGAGGGCGAAATCTGATTGGCCAAAGCCACACGTCCGGCGACATGCGGCGGAAGCCGAGAAATGCCCCACAATAAAAAGGACAGACGCCACACAATACGCCGTTTGATGGAACAAAGGTGAAAAATGATCCAGATTGTAAACTGAAATATGAAGGACTAAATGTTATGTAAATCGTGGAGCATCTAAAGTAAGCATCGACAGTTGTCAGAAACTTTCCGATTGATAAAATCAGACTTTTTTCTTTGCTATAAAATCCCCAAAATAAACACGACAGCCTCTCCTCTAAAATACATCAAAAATATAAGATTGCATACCTGTTGGTGAGATCTGCTTCATAGAGTGGAAACAATCGAGACACAATGAGGTATTGAGTCATCACTGTTTAATGCTAAGCTATGCTAATTGTTGTGCTTTAGAAAAACGGTGTAGAAAAAAAACTAAACAAAAGCTGAAGCGACGTTGCCACGTCCGCAGCTGCATACTAGGTGGCGCTGTTGTTGTGTGGCAAGCACTTCTGCCAGGAAGTGCCGGGAAGCGAAAGGACGAGGAAAAGGACGCCTCCCAAAATGAGGACGGCGCCCGCTGAGCCCGCGCAGGCCGCCGACCACGCCAGCCGGTGGTGCAGCGGGACGGAGCGGTCGCTGGACAGTAAGGCCAGCACGGACCGGTGGAAAATCAGGACGGAGACCAGGACCAGGACGCCTGCACGTGTGCGGCGTTAAAAGTTCATCGTTTGGATGATGCGAAGTGGTCGGGAGAGGGCGAGTTCTGACCTGAGAGGATGAAGCAGAAGGAGGCGGGCTTGAGGAAGAAGGCCACGCCTTTGCTGAGCGTCATGATGATGCAGATGGAGCCAGTCACCATCAGGGTCAGACCGAGCAGAGCCAAAATGGCCGCCGCCAGGCTCAAGTCTAGCGAGAGGGACAACTGGACTGAAACATCACCCACGTCAATGACGAGCGCTTCAGTTGACTTGCATTCATGCTTTTTTAAACCCTACTTGCAAACCCTAACCCAAGTCGGGAACCCTACAGATAAACCCTTACCGGAGTACTGAACCCTACTTCTGAGCCCTAACCCTAGTTCCAAATCCAACTTCCATACCCTAACTCGAGTTTAAACCCCTACTTCCGAACCCTCACCCTAGTTCCAAATCCAACTTCCGAACCCTAACCTTAGTTTAAAACCCTACTTCCGAAGCCTAACCCGAATTTTGAACCCGACTTGATAACCCGAAACCGAGCTTCGAACTCTACTTCCGAACCCAAACTCTAGTGTCAAACCCTACTTCCGAACCCTAAACCTACTTCTGAACCCTAACCTTAGTTCGAAATCCAACTTCCGAACCCTAACCCTTGTTTAAAACCCTACTTCCGAACCCTAAACCTAGTTCTGAACCCTAGTTCTGAACCCTTGCCCGATTTCCAAATTTAACTTCTGAACCCTAACCCTAGTTTCAAACCCTATTTCTGGACCCTAACCCTAGTGTCAAACCCTACTTCCAAACCCTAACTCAAGTGTCGAACCCTAATTCCAAACCCTAACCCTAGTTTTGAACCCTAATTCCAAACCCTAACCCAAGTTTCGAACCCTACTTGTGAACCCTAACCTGAGTTTCAAACCCCTCTTCCAAACCAAGGGGTAATTAGAAATATTAGGGTTTGAAAATCTTTCTTTGAAACCCTAGTCCTACTTTTAGCCCTTACATAGAAACCTTATTCCTATTTCTAAAATCTATTTTGAAACGATAACCCTGCTTTGAAAGCAAAGTTTGAAACCAACCCCTAGTTTTAAACCCTACTTTGAAAACCCAACCCTAAAAACCTTATTCTACTTTGCAGCCTTAACTTCTTCTTTTTTTTTTTTTAAATTCCAATTAATTGAGGAGTGAGTTGTTCGATTTAGGTAGGGATTAGCATTTTAGAGTTAGCATTGTGCTTGGTTTGGGAGTTCATTCTAGTTTAGGTTTGAGAATACGAGTAAAAAAAAAATGCGTGCGGCACTGATCCATGCATCCCCACCATTTTGCCAATGCACATTCTTTGTGCCGAACGCTTCCTTGGATTTGATGAGCCAAAATGGCGGCGTTTGCGCAAGTGGGCCACATGCCGATTTGGCTCCACTTGAAACAGACTTTGTTGGCAGGTGCGACATGCTAAGCCCTTGCCGATGTGCGAGTGTGGGCCACCGATGTCATCATCAGTCCTTGTTAGCTCCATGCAAGCATCTCATGGTGCAGAAAATTGACAAATCAAAGAATGGTGTCTGTTCTGATTTTTCGTTCTTTGTTTTAGTGTGTGGGGGGGGGGGGGGGCTGGGCAACCACCGTTTCACATTCATCTTACTCTTGTTTGTCGTCTTCTTGAACACGACGGCGTTTTCCCCCGAGGTGAAGAATTTGAAGTAGGTGCAGTTGGATTCTGTCGAGGGAAAAAGGAAAGTTTACTGCCACGCACGTGCGACAGATCGCTGCTGGTCTTGTGCGATGTGCTTTCTATGCATCCATGCGCACACTTTGGTCCTTCCAGGCATCATTTCTATTTATATCCCAGTGTTGAGTCGGAATACACACACTGCACATATGGTGAGGCCAGCCGTGGAAGGAGGTGCTAATATTTCATTACTGTACTTCGGTAGATTTTTCAGACATTCGTAATTTACTTGAGTAGGCCTTTTTATTTTTCATGTGATTTTTTTCACATGATATGATCCATTTCTATGCTGTTTCGACATTGCACTGGGACACGCACACGTACGTCGGACAGAGTACCCGCAGAAAAGCCACACGAGCGCGGGGAGAACATGCAATCTCGACGCAGGAAGGCCGTGGGCGAGCATTCCAACCCCGCGACCTCTGCACTGTGAGGCGAACGTGTGAACCGCTCAACCGCCGTGCCGCCATGTGTGTTTCAATTAAGATCAAAGTTGAAATGGCGAACCTTTTATTTTGCCTTGATATGTTTCGATCTGGGGCGGCCCAGTGGGCCAGTGGTTAGCACGTCGACTTCACAGCGCAGAGGTACCGGGTTCAATTCCAGCTCCGCACTCCCAGGGTTCGATTCCGGCTCCGGCCTTCCTGTATGGAGTTCGTATGTTCTTCCGGTCCCGACGTGGGTTTTCTTTGGGTACTCCGGTTTCCTCCCACGCTCCAAAAACGTGCATGGCAGGTTAAGGGAACACTCTCAGTTGTCCCTCGGTGTGAGTGTGAGCGCCGATGGTTGTTCGTCTCTGTGTGCCCTGCGATTGGCTGGCAACCGGCTCGGTGTGTCCCCCGCCTACTGCGCGAAGACAGCTGGGATAGGCTCCAGCACCCCCCCGCGACCCTCCTGAGGATAAGCGGATCGGAAAATGAATGAATGAACAAATGTTTCTGACACTGGACGTGGTGTGACTAGAAAGCAGTCATGTCAAGATCTTGATTGATTGATTGTGATCTCGGGGTCTTATAGAGCACCCCAAAAAAATCAACAACAGGGTTAAGGAGGTTGGAGAGGGATCTGAAGAAGAGGAGGAGGAGTGAGGTGAGAGCGCAGATGGAGGGCCAGTGGAAGCTGGAGAAGAAAGAGGGAAGCCGCAGATGGTTCAGGAAACAAGGGATGGTGGAGTGGGAGTGTGTGGAGGGGACGACACGGGGAGTTAGTTCATCGGGCATTAGACCTGCTCTCCCTTGGTCCCTCGCTCTCCCGCTCCCTCGTTGCCCTTTCACTATATTTAGAAAAAAACTGTGAAGTAGACAGATTCCACTGGGCTTCTCGGCCGCACAGTGACAACTCTCAACCACCCGGCATGACGAGTTGTGCATACTTGTGCGCGCTGTTAAGGAATACTACAGCACACACACACGCACACACAGTCCATGTCGACACTACTCATCAGCTTGTGTGCGATGGCGCTTGCTCATTACGCACATATTGCGTTCAAGACGCCTCAGACGCTCAGCGAGTAGCGATGGTAAGACGGGCAAGAAAACAGTTGCTTTTTTGGCATCAAAAAAACATGGCGGGGGCTGGCCGCCATCTGCCAGTGGCGCGAGGGCGTGAGAAACATGGTCGCGAGCGGAACGGCTGCCACCGCACACTGTCGCATGCGCGCACGTAGCACAATTGCGCGCGATCAATAGAAGCAAAGCGTCAAAACAAGAAAAAATTTTGTTCTATTTAAGTAGAGCCCGACCGATCAAGATATATATCTTGTTTTTGAGGCTGGTGCCGATTGCGACATTTGACACGACCGGTTAATTCTCAACTATAGCATTGATAAAATCGCTTCTTCTTTTGGGTTCCTTGACACATCCTACAACAAATAACACTGTAGTCATTTTCTTACATTACAGCAAGGAGGAAAATCTGCAAAAATCAGCAAATTTTTTTGTTGTTTTTATGTTGGAATATAATAGCGTGTATAAAAAAAAAAAAAACGTGGCTGATTTTTGATGAGCCAATCGCCCAATTTCTTCTCTGATTAATCAGTCGAGCTTTAATGACAGCCTCAGCAAATCTTTGTTTTTTTTTCGGCGCGAGAATCCTAAAGTCGACCTGATTCTTGTCTCTCGCTGGGATTGCATTCTCTCTTTATGATCTCAGACCAAAATCCAACCCTGAGACAGACGTGCTAACCACCGACGCGGCGGACCGATAGGCCGTATTTTGTTCTGACATCTTATTGAAAAGTCTTGCCAGAAGAGCGCAAGCTTTTCCGGCCGCATCGTATCTGTCGGCGCCGGTTACGTAATGCGCCATCCGCGCGGCTTCCCTTCGCGCTCCTTCCATTGGACGACTCCGTTGCCGTTCTTTGCGAACGATTGAATTGGCTGACCTAGATGCAAATGCTGTACATACGCCGCGTGTTCGCACCCCCCCCCCCACCCCGCGTGGAACGTTTCCAAGACAAGCATGCGTACGAGGCTCACATTCGGTCACAGAATGGGATGGGCATTTCTTCTTTTATGGAGCCTGCGGTGCATAACGCCGTTTTCTTGATCATTGCCAGAGCTTGCTGAAGAGCTGATCGTTTGAATCGGGTGCATTGGAGGAGGAGGGCTGGATAGGGGCCCTGGAGGACTCCCTTCGTTTAGACTGGCACAGGTGTCAAAGTGCGGCCCTCGAGGGCCGGCTTTCCGTGTCTCCCTGCAGCAACGCACCTGATTCAAATCGTCAGGATCATTATCAGGCTCCAAAAAAAGCTTTCTGATGAGCCGATTATTTGGATCAGGCGTGTCGCAGCAGGGAGACACGCAAAACATGCAAGGACGCCGGCCCTCGAGGACCGGACTTCCATACTAATGCTTTAGAGTGTTCCATTCTCCTACCACGCATGTTTTTGGAAGCGGGAGGAAACCGAAGTAGCAAGAGAAAGCCCACGGGGAGAACATGCAAACACCACACAGGGAGCCCGCAGTCCGGAATCCAGCCTGCACCTCTGCACCCCGAGGCGAACCGTGCTCACGTGACTCAGGATGTTTAATTACAAACACTGAGTAGGTGCCTTGTGGTCACCATGGCAACAAGTGAGCTAGCATTCTACGGGCGAAGTCAAAGACATCGTCACGTCTCACCTCCCGGTAGTTCAGCTGGACCGCAGCTCGCCCTGTCGGGGTCCACGTCGGCCACCCACAGGGTGCGCACGCAGGCCTTCCAAAGGCCGTAGTGCGCCAGCTGGCATGTCTGGTTGCCGCCAAAGTCCTTGGGCTGCGCCAGCTCCACCCAAAATTCGGTGCCCAAGGCCAGCACGGTCAGCGTGACGCCCACCGCGCACACCAGGAAGGCCAGCTTGATCTTGCCGTCCTGGCTGTCGCTCAACTTTTGGTTCCGTCTCTGAGCACGTCCGCCCTTCAGGGCGGCCAGAGCGCCTCCTTGGCCACCGCCCGCCGCCCCCACGCGGCCCTCCTCGTCCCTGGCCACGAAGAAGTTGTTCCACATCTCAGCTTGGGGGTATTTAGTTTGAGTTTAGCTTTATAATGGTGAATAAATAAAACTCTGCTACTACCAAGATAGATTAAAAATAAAAAATAAAAATCACTAAAAACACAAAAGACGACCAAAAGGTATAAATGAAGCTTCTGTCCAAGTATTTCCTTTCCTGCAGTCCTCTGAAAAAGAAATGCAACAATAAATAACACAGCAAAGATCACAGGTGTTCAATTCAAGGTCCAACGTGTTCCGCAATCTTACTAACCAGCCTTAAAAATGACACTAACCAAGGGAAGTTTATCTGATTTGATCATTCGTGGGAGCATGTACTGAGTAAGTTAAACAGGAGAGGGACGAGAAAGGATCCCTGCGGAACACCACATTGAAAAATGACAAGATTTGAATTTTCAAGACAGACGAGGATGGAGGAAAACCTGTTCAAACTCCCAGAGCAGGCATTGGTGCAAAGGCAAAGGAAGTCGATCTCGAGGGCCTCATTGGAAATCCATAAAAGCTCGACTCCGTGGATGCGTCAAAGCATGATTAGGCGTTTTTTTCTCTTACTGACTCTCCATTTTTCAAAGGCTTCAAGCAGAACAGCAAGCTGAAGCTTTATCACTCTCCCAACTAGAAAGCCAGAGAATCGTTTTGTCTACATTAAAGTGGTTTGGCGCCGTGGGGGGGGGGGGGGGCTCACGGTGAGTGCCGCAGTGAACCACCCATCTTTTATTGTCCCACCGCAGAGCTCAGACCCGAGTCGTCCCACTGCGTTGGGCTCGGATGCGAATCCCCTTCTGATCTGCGGGGATAACGCGATGCCACAAATACCCGCCAGCCTCCATCACATGGCACGGCCCAGGCGGGGGCCCGTGGGAGCGGTTTAACTCGGTGGCAGATGACCCACGCGGGGATGCGAGGCAGGTGATAATGCCAGTCTGAACAAGAGCGCAGGTCTTTTTAATTGACCCTGCTGGGGGAGGGGGGGGGGGCTTCGACAGGTCACAGGACAGAAGCCCCCTGCCCCCATCCACAGAGTTGTTGGATCACTTCATTCCGAGCTTTGCGCCAGCAGTCTCAAAGGTTTTATTTCGGCACTGGAGCACATGAGCCACCTGTTTGTCATAACGCTGGATTTGGCGATTCATTCAGGAGAACGGCAAGCGCGTTACATTGACGTCATAACATGCATAGAATGGAATCTTTCCCATCGTGAGATCCAAGACATGAGCAGCGGGGGTTTAGCTTTTTTTGGTGAGGTGGCATATTCGAGTCGGGGTACGCGATGCGGACTGGCGTAATAATGAGATCCAATCCAAGAGCTGTCAAGCATCTTTGCTTCGCGAGACGAAAGCGACGCAAAATTTCATGTTCAAAATAATCATCTTGGTCAGAAGTGAAGTCATCTTTAATATGCCTTGATCGGAGCAAATATAAGTTTTGACATGAGTGATAGATATGGAATAAGAAAAAATGATTATGATGCAGTCATGCCAGTAGTAATGTTAAATCTTCAATTTTGTAATTTCATAGGTAATAATGCTGTGCTTGAATATTCCTTGCGAATAGTTCAGAACAAATATTACACTACTAATAATCTTTTTAAAAAATCTTTATTATGCACACCACACTGCTAAAGCTGCTTTGAGTGCTCACGAAACAAAATGTTGAGTTTATTTTATGACACGATTGGTTTCTTTGTTTTGATGCCGGGCGGCACGGTGGATGACCGGTGAGCGCCACCGTCTCGCAGTACAGAGATCATGGGTTCGATTTTGGGTCCCGGCCTTCCTGTGTGGAGTTTGTGGTGTTGTCGTTGAGCCTGCGTGGGTTTACGCTCACGTTTTTAAAATCATGCATGGTAGTTTCATGGAACACGAATTGTCCCTAAATGTCTGATCCTGGGACTTTTGCAACTCTGCGCGTGCGTGCGTGCGTGCGTGCGTGTGTGCGTGTGTGCAAGAAATCAACAATTGGGAGAGGAAAAAAAAAAAAGAATTCTGACCTGTGATTTGGTACTGGGTTGAGAAGAAGACGCTTGAAAATTCAAAGAGCAAAGGGGTGCTCATGGCAGAGTTAGTGAACAGGAACGAGAGAGTGACAGTGCGAGGAGGGGGTACATAACATTCATGGAAAGTGAGTCGAACAGGGGAGGGGGCTGCAGCCCGGTTGGCTCACACGCTTCTTCATTCAATATCCGACGATGTGCGTCTGCATGGGTGTGTGTACCGGTAATGTTAGTCGCTAGTAAGGCGAAGTGGCGCAGGGCGATCACACACACGCACACACACACACACACACACACACACCCTCGCTGGCATACGCATGACGTGACGAAAAACATGTCTGTCTGTTTCTGTCACACACTCGCCATGCGTGCGCGCGTCTATTTTGGACGGGGCACCTGTTAACGACATTAAGTGAGAGCGAAGGAGGAGCCGCAGCGTGTGTTCATGCGGCTCGTCTTACAGCAGCGAGTTGAGTGATTGATCTGCCCAACCATGTCTCAATAAGTTAGTGTGGTTAACGATTGAAATACTCTTGGATCGCGTCACATGGTTGATCTAACTCTTTTGCGCTGCCCCTCGGTTATTTTGGGTGTCATTTCACTGGCGGCCATGAGATGCTGGGTTACGGTTATGTTTTGGCACAGTGTGTACATATGAAAGAGGAATTAGACTGGTTTTGGCTGAAAACGATCGGATGTGAAATCCTGATTAATCCTGCTTTTTAAACCTACAAAAAGGACCTTTCCCAAAGTGTCTTGTTAAAATGATCAAGGGAGAACTCAGGGCTTTAGTTCAGCCCCTGACGATAAAACTTTCCCCATATAGTGTTCCTTATCATATTGTGTGTATAACAAGGGAGCAAGAGTTTCGGATGGTGTTGAGGAGACAAGCAGAGAACAGGACAAAACAAGCTCCAGGCAACTCCTTTCCATTGCAGCGTTTTACTTCTCTCTACTTGTAATTATGCAGCCGCTCTCGTCCTCTCGCCCGTCCGTCACTTGACCGAAAAGGTCCATGCGGCTACAGTCGCAGGCCATCAAAAATGCAGCGCATCGCTGATGCCCGTACCCGCTCTCTGCACTTCGCTCAAGTCTTGCCGTCAGCAGGACGGACAGCACACGCTTCAACAGAAGGCATACTTCGACACGTGTGCGCGCTGCATCAGATATGAAAAAGATTGAGCTTTGTTCCACGAGTACAGCCGTGCCCAGCGGGAACCGATTTCGACGTTTTTCCAAAAAGACAATCATAGATAAAGACGAAGACAATTCCACACCGTGTATTTAAAAGAAGCCCACAACTTGCCACTAGCCTAATGCTAACACGCTATGCAAAGCTAGACATAGACATGCTTCACAGATGGCCTTGAAGGTCAATGCGTCGACGAAACATATCCAGCCAATATGAGGATAAGGGCAGGCTTATATTCTGTATCCGGCCATTTTGCCACTTTGTCAACTGAAAATGACCTCAGAGTTGCTCGGGGCACAGATAACAACCGATCACGGCTCAGCTTCAGAAAACAATTGAGTCGTGACTGGCCGTTACCTGAGCCCTGCGCAATTGTATTGGGTCACAATGTTGCGTCTGAATCAAGATCCAACGAGGGAGGCGTTGCCAGCCCGGATCAACAATAAATAACCATATCTGTTTTGTACTATCATGAATTGTATTATTATGAAAATATTGCGACGTCACATACTGCATGCGAGGGTATCAGACAGCGCCACCTTGTGGGCATCATGCTAACTACGGGTAATCTCCTAAACAACTCACCAACAGACTATTTTGATGAGTTTAAAACTATATATATATATATATATATATATATATATATTTGCATGTTTTGTCTTAATCGTGATTAGGACGTGATTCTTGTAACGTTGACTTCTTGAAATGAGTTCTGTAACACTTTCTACACTGAATTTATTGAATCAATTTGAATTGAGCCTTCACTTTTCAATGATGTAACATGCTACTGAATGTCAGGAAAGTACCGCTGGACATTGTGCAATGTGTACCTTTTTCACATTTACAAAATAAATATTTCGCATATCGACATCGCCATTACTGTCTATATTATTCTGTCTATATTCGTGACTCCTTAACTGCAGTCGGACCTCAAACATGACTTCACTGTGCATACAAACGTTGGGGAGGGCTGCTGGGTGCATTATCATTGATCATTGTCATGACCACAAGTCAGATTTTTTTTTTCTCTCCTTCTGCACTTGTTTGGCATGAGACTATATTTTCACCGCCACGAAGGAGAAACCGGCAACACTTGAATGTGTCTCATTCTCTTCCTGCTTCAATTCAAAAATCCCTCCAGTCCCCGACAGATGCTGAGCTTGTGCATTTTTCACTTGCTCCTAATTTGGGTGTAATTGCGACTAAAGCATCTTTTTTTTTCGTGACTGCAACTTAATTCTAGTGACTGCCCCCCCCCCCCTTTGCCCCCCAGCCTTTTTCTTGTAAAGAAATTTTCAAAATGGGACGAATATGTCAAAGGGGTTACTTGGAAAGGAAAAATATGCGCATCCTTAAATAGGAGAGTAAATAGGAGAGTGATTCATCTACGTTGGCTGGAGTTGTGCCAGTTAGCAGAGCTTCCAGTACAAGACGAGGTGTAGGTTTAACTCATGTGTTTATTTGGTCTTGTCAAAGAGGTGAGACTATGCACACAAATGAAACAAAAAATGAATTAATCACCGGGTCCAAACACAAGTGACAGTTCAGATCTTTGCGTCAACAAGGGACATGAATGGCAATGCGAGCCAAAGCACAGGAGAGTGAAGCCTTTGTAAGTGATGAAAGAATTCATTAAGGAAGGGCCGGCCGGATTTGTTTCCTTGTCCAATTGTCTTGGAATCATCCCAGTAAGGCTTTTGGTCAGCGAAATCCCCAATAAATAGGTTTGAGTGTTGCTGATAAAAGAAGAGGATCAACCGGGGAAAAAAAATGGATGGAAAACTTCCCTTGACTGTAGTTGGTGTTATTCTACAGGCTGCGCACAATGTGATGTTACAAGCTGGAGCCAGCGAAGCTACACATAGTATCGGAACAGTAACATTTGACATTCACACGACATGCTCAAGCGATCGTCCTGAGGGGGGGAGGGGCAGTAGTCTGACAAAAACAAACAAATCCAAAAAAACAAACAAACAAAAAAAAAAAAAAAAAACAAGTTGGTGCAGTACCCAGACTGACCTGTGGGTGGCAACAATGTGCCACAGGGCTTCCACACCACCAGGAGCCAGCGAAGCTACACATAGTATCGGAACAGTAACATTTGACATTCACACGACATGCTCAAGCGATCGTCCTGAGGGGGGGAGGGGCAGTAGTCTGACAAAAACAAACAAATCCAAAAAAACAAACAAACAAAAAAAAAAAAAAAACAAAACAATGTCTCCTCTAGTCTTTCTAATGGCGGTGAAACTCAATTGGACGTTACAGCTAGTGAAGAAGAATAAGAAGTACGAGGCGGCCTGACCAAAAAAAAAAAAAAAAAAAATGCCCTCATCATTTTCTTCCTCTTCATTTCCATAGAGCCATCTTAATTCCTTCTCGAAGTTCCTTCCATTTAAATACAAACGTTGACGTGTTACACCCCCCCCCCTTGCCAAAAATGACATCTCCGGCTCGCAAAATATAAAAACTGCTGACCCCACCCTGGACCTATTAGAACACACATTTCTCAAAAAATTTTAGACCCTCCCGCCCCCCTCCCTACCTAACAATGACAAAACCCCGACGACCAG